TTCTTCTCGCGTGTATTTTCTTTTCCTGTGTAGTTTAATTTATTACTACTATTACCATACCCAATGGATGGCTTATGTTTTTTTTTGTCTTTTTTTTTAAAACAAAAATCCTTTTGAAGTCGGGGTTCGATGGGGAAAGCTTAATGTTGTTGCGTCATCCATTTGTAAATCCATTTTCTTGTGCAGGATTTAATTAATCTCTGAACTGGAAAACATTTACACAGTTACATCCTTCCGGCGTGGGTATGGACTTTGTCGGAGGAATATCGGCGTGGTGATCCTAATCAAACAATGTTGCTGATCTGCAATTTTCATAGTTTGGTTGACTGATTGATTAGATCTTTTCTTTCCTTTTTTTTTTTTTTTTTTTTCCCTTTTAGCGGGGAGATCAGTTGGCTGCGATGAGGGGCAAGAGGGAGGATCATCCCACTCGTCTCCACGCCAGTCCTTTTTTGAATCCTGCACACCTTTCTTAAGGCCTGTCGGTCCTTCATCTGTCTCTTCTCCCCATATCCTCATTCCTTTGGCCTGGCTAGAAAGGTCATCCCTCGCCATGCGCAACAACGTCTGCCACTTGCCCAATGGGCAGTTAATCTCAGTCTCGCCTGTGTTCGGGGGCTTCACCTTCAGGATCCACGATGCACACTTGGATCGCTCCTTACTCCCTCCTGGATGGACGATCGTCCTGTACACCAGACAGCATACTCAGGAAAAGGAGAAGTCTGATGGAGCGCCTGACCGGGCTCGTGAAGCCGGAGGAAAGGGTGACGACCAGTCGCACAGCTCTCGATTCACAGCACCGACGTTGCGCGACGATTGCCTGTACCTCTCAGCCATCGTCAGTCCTGCAAACAGCGAATATAAACCCGCTATCTCTGCTTCTCGCCAGATCGCCATGATGCTCTGGGTTACACTCTGGTGGTACTTCCACGAGCCCGAACCTGACCTCCACCTTGAGACGGAGGCTTCGTCGCGCACACCCGTGGCGGGTAGACCGAAGGGCGAATGGCGGGTCAATATCAAGCGCGAGGGCATCTTCAAGGGACGAAACGTGCTTCAGAAGCTGGAACGGATGGGGCTGGTTGCCACCGAGGATTCATCCGTGGGGCCGGATGCCTTCGATAACGAGTCATGGGAGTCGATGTTCGTGAGCCGACGCTCTTTCTGGCAGATCGATCCCCGTCTTTTCGTCTTCTCTTTGAGCCCTTTGAATACGGGGCAGAATGTACCCGGCTCTTCGCATCATACCCGCCAGTTGTCGTCTCCAACCCGTGAGACGATGTACCTCGCTGATTCCGGTCCTCCCCCCAGCGACACTAGCCACTACGCACCCAACGAAGGGCCGTTTGCCTCTAGTACCAATCTTCCAACTTACTATCCCCCGCCAGCTACTCAGTACACCTTCACAAATGGAGTCCGACACCCCATCAGGCCCAAGCCACCGCACCAGGGAGATGTATTCTACATTCGATACATTCCCAGCGTCGGGCAATATCTCTCATTCCGTATCCCATATCTCCCTTCACAGAAGACTCAGGCTCCAGGAGGAGCACCCAGTAAAGCACATACCTCTTCAGCCTCAACCAGTGACCCAGTGGTCTCGAACACGCCTTCGGACCTCGACTACCTGCACAAGTGGATGAACGACCCAAGAGTCAGCGCAGCATGGGGAGAGGCCGGACCAATCTCCCACCAGGAGGAATTCCTTCGCAACAACCTGAAAAGCCGACATAGCTTCCCGGTTATCGGATGCTGGGACGGCAAACCCTTCGGATACTTCGAGATCTACTGGGTCAAAGAAGACCGACTGGGACAACTCATCGGGGGCGCCGGCAATTACGACCGGGGGATCCACCTGCTAGTCGGAGAGCAGGAGTACCGCGGTGCGCACCGGGTGCAAATCTGGCTGAGCGCCTTGGTGCACTACTGCTGGCTCTCAGACCAACGCACTGAGACAGTCATGCTAGAACCTCGAGTGGACAACACAAAGTAAGTTATCCCTTTCATAACTCAGCGATATGCTCACAGAAAGAAACTAACGACAAAACAACAAAAAAAGGGTCCTCGACTACCTCCAAAAAGCAGGCTTCTACAAAGAAGGCGAAGTAAGCTTCCCACACAAACAGTCCAACCTGATGAAAATCAAACGCGACAGCTGGGAAGCCCCAGCCATATAAAAGGCACAGACGCAAGAAGCAAAGAATTATATGCAAAAGTGAAGAAAAAATACCACAGTCATGAATGTTGGCGGTTAAAATGAAAACCTTAGCATCAATCAACCCCACCCATGATATCTCTCATCTCTACAAAAACATCCCGAAGTAAAGGGGGATAAGACCAAAATCTAGAACCACCAACTGCTAAACCAAACCCCAAAGCGCAGAATGTGAACCCCACTCCCCTTGTACATATATATATTTTTATATCGATCAACACATTGATCGTCCGCGAGGGAATTCCTCGTATGAGGTGCTTCTCAGCTCCGATGGATCTACTATATTCTAGAACGTGCGGTTCGCATTCCTTGACTAATGTGGTGCGCATACGCTGTTGCTGGGGCGTGGCGGTTGAAATTCCTGGCACGGCTTGTTTTTGTTGATCATTGTCGATTGGGGATCGACGCGCTGAGAGGGGTGTACTGTGTCCATACACAGTATAGCATGGGTAATGCAAGGTGTGCAGAGATTAGGTGCTCGCTTAGAGAGTGCTTCTGAGATACGAACAGGGCGACTCGGATATCTATTTATAGAATGTGGTATAAGAGCATTTTATTATAGCATAAACTAGTCTGTAGGTGAGGGCATCATACATACATGAATAACAGATTTGTGTAGTGCGTGATATCTAAGCAATGTGTACCAACGAAAGTGTCCCAGGAAATCGGAGTTATGAACGAAAGTTGGCATAAACATAAATAGAAAAATGTAGTAAAAAAAATAACAACGCCAATGCAATGCATTAATGAACGAACGTAGACCTACCGGGGGTATTGCTGGACATCAGAGGGGACACTTTTCTTGCAAGACATGAGAAGCAAATTATCATTCAAGGTAACAGCGGGGTGCTAGGATGGAAGGGAAAGACGAGAGTATTAATCAATAGCTAAGACCAGCTCAGCTAGGAGATAAGATGGTTAAACGTGAGAGCGCATGCGCCCACCCATGTAAGAACCCGCGGCAGAGGCCAGGAATCGAGCGACGAATCCGGTGTGCCCAGCATGTCCGTTCATCCGAACCTTCTTGGTAGGCTGCTGAATTTCTTCCAGCTTAGGGTTGGACGCCATCATGGAAGATACCGGAACGTATCCACAGCTGATAGATGGGCTACGCGCTCCATCAACTACTCTAATATCAGCTTCCATGCTGGTGATCGAGCTAGATGTGCGCAGACTAGCTGGAGTAGCATTTCGGGAGCTTGGCGCAATGCTAGACGCACGCGAGCTCAACGAAGGCACCGTATCCACTCGGGTCAATGACGGCACATCCTGCGCAGATGGAGGTGAGACAGAAGCACCACTGCGGGTCGACGGGCGCCTCCGCGGACGATAGGGCTTGTGGCGATCATTGTCCGCTAAGGACGCTGGTGATGCGTTGGATGACATGGAAGACAGCGATGCAGATGATGCCGGGCTCGCGGGTAATCGCTGACGGCGATGTACAGAGTCTGATCGACGAGCCTCGAGGCGAGCTTCCAGTTTCTGACGACGAAGGCGACAAGCAAGGAGTTCAGCGGAGGCCTGAAGACGGCGCCATTCGCGGGGCTGGCGCATCTCGGCTTCACGTTCTTGAACCTGGTAGCGGTAACGAATGGGTGCCAAAAATGGTTCGAGGTGACAGTAGAGATCGTCTTCAGTAACGCGAGTATCCCAATCCAGCAGGAACAGAAGCTGTCGCTCCATCAGGTTGACCTCTGGGAGGGAGAAGGCAAACCCGTCATAGCCCTTGACGGTAGTATACCGGGCCCAATGCTTGTTCTTCGGGCTAGAGTCATTTAGGTTCTTGGCTGCCAAGATGAGGGAAGCAAGAAAGATGCGATGCACAGTGCAGCGCATGCCCTTTGCGACAGGCGGGAGACGAGCACGCAAACGGGCCAGGTAGACCAGGGAGGTCATCAGGGTAGGAACCTGAACCTGAGAGCGGGTGACTAGTGAAGCAATAAACATTTCGACTGAGGGCAAAGGCGGAAGTTGAGTATCAACCGCATCTAATGGAGGTGTACTAGGAGGTGTTGGTTGGCCATGAGCGCTGGCCGTGGTCACATGAGGTTCGCAACGGATGACCTGAGAGGCTTGCATCGCTAGATGTGCCACCATCTCACGAGAGACCGGTAGTCGGACAAACTCATGGAGAGCGATTCGATTGAGATGTTGGAAGTGGTTCATTTGATCAGGTTGGCTGACTTGCTCCATTGTGGTGGTGGTATAGAACGGGGGGTAGGTCATGGTGTGCATTTAGTAGAAGGAAAGAGGGGAACAGAACAGAGCGAGAGCAACGGATAAAAAGAGGCAATGTTTGCCTTGTAGACAAAATCTAAGGAATGTGAAACTAGATATATTTGGTAGAGTCGCGAAAATTCCTGCCAGCAGGAGTAAGAGGAATGTAGAGGTTGTCGTGTCAACCTGATGGATCACCTTCCGAAGTATGGAGCGGCGGCACTGAGGCACGGTGAGACAATATTAGACGGGGAAAAAAAAATTAATTCAGTGATAATCAAATCGATCAACTAATAGAGAGAATACGATAAGGAAAGACCTATGAAGAGACCGACCGATCGATATATAAAAAGAGAATGAGAGAGAGAAAGCTTGAAGTGTGCGAATGCCATGCTGAACAATGGTAGCGAGTGACTGACTGAATATAAGTATCTATCAGAAACTCAGAGTGAGGGCAAGACATCCCCTGCTAGTGGATAGTTAGTTTCAGTGGTTCAGTGGTCCAGAGGTGAAGGCTGGCAATTGCTATGCAAGGACGGCGGTTGGACGCGCATCGTGCATACCGGCCATCCACTCCCCCATGATCTCATTTGGCGCGCGACCCCAGGGGGGTGGATGATTGGCAATAAGCTCTCCGTCAATCAGATCTCCGAACACGAGATATGATTCAATCAAGGGTTAGACCATTTTCTCGTCAAGTGGATGGCTCGCCACGAAGGCCTATTTCGGCGATCGCGTTTTTTTCCCCCTACATCGTGGCGGGAGTTCGCACGATCCTATGGCGCGCTTCCTGTCAAAAAATCATGCGATGGTATGTATGACAGGATAGCGTACGATTCCTGACAATTGACACCCGAGGGGTGCGTCATGCTCCCTATGCCGGAGAAGGAGTGACTAGTGATGATCTTCTCCTGGGGTTGGTGTTGATTGATGCCTGGAAAATGTACTGTTGGTCACAGGTTTACTACAGAAGTGGAGGTTTGGAGCCTGAGGTTGGGCGGTTTGGTTGGTTTGATTGGGTTTGGTTCCTGCAGGCGTTTAAGCGCCGGGGGTGCAGACGCTGCAATCCCTCGTCTTGAGATCTTAAGATAGATACTATCTTACTTGGGTCGTCCCTGATCTACTAGTACAAGCTAGTTGCCTTTCTATATTTATACGGCACCACTTCAAACGTTTCGTCCCATTCGACTGTCTCATTAGACGCCGGGAATTTATATTTAGATGTTTTCGATCTTGATTTCTAAATAAAACCTATATACTCAACAAGCTAGACGCCTCAGCTCCACTGGAGCGAGCGGGTAGAAGAAGACAATCACAGATATTCACAATAAACCAGGCAACAGACAGCCTGTACCCCTCTCGTCAAAACACGGAATGATTCAGTCTCCTTCCTGAGGTATGTATATCCCGAACCTTTTCCCCTCCATTCATCCCGCTATCCCTGACGGTCCCTGAAACACGGCGCCTAGCATCGCCTCAAACTATTTACAAAACCGTCATCAACCTAGTTGGCAGGATGGCGATTAGGCAACAGACACAGAGTAGGAAGAGGTGGTGAACTTGACGTCGCTTCCGCTGAAGGGCTCAGTACCCGCCTGCACATGGGTCAGGTATTGGCTGGAAGGCAAGCCCTGTTCCTCCTGCAGATACTTGAGGAAATCATTCAGGTCAGCCGAGAAGTCCTCGGTCGTGGATGAGGCGACGAAGCTGAAAACTGTCATCTGGCCGTTGGGACCACTGTACAAGGACCAGCTCTGTCCGCCCACGGTGGGGGTAGCAATAGTAGAACCGGTCGACGAGATAGGACCAGCACCGCCCAAGGCTGCCAACCAGATCATGATCTCGTACTCCTCATCTCCATCTGCGCTGGACGAAGTGAAGAGGTCATATGCGACATCAGCAACAACGTCAGAGCCAGTGTTCCTAGGAAAGGTTAGTGCCCAACCAAACACATTTAGTTGATATGACGACATACTGCCACTTCCATGTGCTGGGGATGCTGCTTAGCTGGCTCAGCTGAGTGGCCTCGAAGGTGTAGGCAGCATTGGCGAAGCTCTTGACCTGGCCGGCTCCACCGGTCCAGCTCCAGCTGGTGTGCCAGGCAATGGTGTTTCCGTTATCCGAATCGAGGCCGGTGCATTGGCTACCACTGTCCGCATTGCCCTCGCCCCAGAGGTTATTGTACAAAGTGAACTTGTCGGTAGTGGTGGTGTCCCATTGGCCACACATATCCGCCCGGCGGTTGAGGGCGGCAGCTGAGGCGAGAGAGCTGAGAATAAGAGGAGAGAGGAACTTCATTTTGAATATATCAAGTGATGGCTCAAACTTAATGTCTAGGTTTTTAGTTCGTCGTTGGATAGACACCTTTGGCTGACGATCCGGAGCTAGAAGCCGGTATATATACCTGCTCTTTTGGTGGCACTTTGACCCTCATATCGGATACCTCAGCTAGAAACACACTGAACCGTGGTCTAATCTCCGGTTAATTCGGCATGTTGGGATTAGAGGATTGAGCCCCTGTGCCAGAGGGGACGAGCGCTGAATGGTGGCCTAAATCAAGCGTTGAATGCGATGCGCCGGTGTTTGAAGTATCCGGCGGACCCGCTGAAGCGTGGAGCCATGGAGTTAAAGTTCTTCATCCTGAGACAGGCAACTCCATCAATTATCGGAAAGGAAATTAATTATCCGGTGAGCCACTATACGGGTGAACATCGGAGAGACAGGTTGGATGACATTGGTCATTTTTTTTAATGAAGAAGACTGCACAATGACGATCTACATGCCAGCCGGACGGAGACAGCTCCGTCTTGAAAGTGATTTTGCAGGAACGATGCGCCAGATATAGCCTAATATAAGAAATCTCGCCAACAGAAAGATTTCCCGAGAGTGACCTTGCTGAGTCGGCATTCGTAAAATGTGATACCGGTAGTCATTGATGGTCAGGGGATACTCCGGAGTAGTTTTGCAAGAAATAGAGTAGAAGAATGGATGGAGCCTTTCCAGTAAAAGAATCCCCACAAGGCTAAGACACCCAATCGGGGTTGCGCTAAGCCCTTTCGGTGCCGCACTCCGCGGCCACCGACGTTTGTTATTGTCGTTCCTGATCCATCTGACTTCTCCGATTCAATTAACATTCCTTCTATCTCCTGTCGCCGAACTAATTCCTCTGAAACCCCGTTTGATCCAATTCGTTCCTCATGCGTACTCTCACTCTCTTGGCCACCTTACTGGCCGTTCTGGCCGGCCTGTACAATTACCTCAACGCGCGTCTCGAGCAGTTTTACATCTTTGAACCCGGCCAGTTGCATGACCTCTCTCAGCGTGCAATTGCTACACATGGAAACGATACTCGCGCCGTTGTAAATTACATTGTCTCGGAGCTAGATGAGAAGGTCCCCGGAAACCACCTGAACAAGGAAGAGGAATGGGTGTTCAACAACGCCGGTGGTGCCATGGGTGCCATGTATATTATTCATGCTAGTAAGCGGAATCTATCTCCTTTTTCCGTCCTCCGACTCCTACAAATTGCTAACTTTCAACCAGGTATCACGGAGTACTTGATTATTTTTGGTGCGGCTCTCGAACTCTTTCCTCTCCACATCTCCCCCTTTATCCAGACCCATTTCCAACGGCGCGCCCATACAATGCCCCTCTTGCTAACCACGTCGGAATTCAGGAACCGCAATCGGCACCGAAGGTCACACTGGCCGTCACACTGCGGATGATTACTTCAACATCCTTCAGGGTACTCAGCTTGCCTATGTCCCTGGATCCTACGAACCTGAGGTCTACCCTCAGGGCAGCGTGCACCACCTCAAACGTGGTGAGGTGAAGCAATACAAGATGGATGAGTCCTGCTTCGCGCTGGAATACGCCCGTGGCTGGATCCCTCCTATGCTCTTCTTCGGATATGCCGATACTTTCTCCAGCACTCTGGATTTCCCTACCCTGTGGGCTACTTCTAGAATCACGGGCCGGGAGATGATCGCCAACTTGTTCAAGGGGAAGCTGTAAAGTCCTCTCGGTGTTTCTTGTACTCTCTTACAACAACCTTAATATCTAGATGTGATTGGGTCATGATTATGTATATTATAGGTATAGCGATACCAAGATTTTTCATTAGAATCCAACCGTGATTATATTTTTCCGTGCAATGGAACCTTTCTTGTTCTGCGTATTTTTGTTTGCTACAAATTTGAATTTTTTTTTTCGTCTCCGCAATGCAAACAAAGCAAACTCACAAGCCTATCATGGTTATCGATTATCACTGATTTTCTTCCCCTCCAACCCCGAAGCCAATTTGAATTAATTCTCAAAAATCAATTCAAAATGGCGCCCTCACCTTGTTTCCACTGCCAAACCAACCGGGCAGTAATCGTCCGGCCAAAGAACCGCGAAAAGCTGTGCCGAACCTGTTTCCTCAACGTTTTCGAAACCGAAGTCCACGAAACAATCACCAGCACCTCCCTCTTTTACCCCGGCGAAAGGGTCGCCATCGGTGCCAGCGGTGGAAAAGACAGCACCGTCCTTGCCTCCGTCCTGAAGACCCTAAACGAACGCTACAATTATAGCCTCGATCTCTGCCTTCTCTCCATCGACGAGGGAATCAAAGGTTATCGTGACGACAGTCTAGAGACAGTCAAACGCAATGCAGAGCAATATGACATGCCACTGGAGATTGTCGGGTACGACGAGTTATACGGGTGGACGATGGACCAGGTCGTGGCGCAAGTGGGCAAGAAAGGCAACTGCACATACTGTGGGGTGTTCCGACGCCAGGCGCTAGACCGTGGTGCGGCGCGATTGGGCATCAAGCATGTTGTTACGGGGCATAATGCGGATGATGTTGCGGAGACGGTTATGATGAACCTGTTGCGGGGTGATTTGCCGCGCTTGTCGAGGGGTACGAGTATCGTCACAGATTCGGCTGCGTCGGATATTAAGCGCAGTAAGCCTTTGAAGTATGCGTATGAGAAGGAGATTGTGCTCTATGCCCACCATAAGCAGCTGGATTACTTCAGTACCGAGTGTATCTACTCGCCTGAGGCATTTCGAGGTAGTGCGCGGACGCTGATTAAGGATTTGGAGAAGATCCGGCCCAGCTCGATCTTGGATATTGTTAAGAGTGGGGAGGACATGGCGGAGCTTGTCCCTGCGGAGGTTAAGGGTAAAACCTGTGCTAGATCTGCAGATGATGAATCGGCTGGTGGATGTGGAAGCCAGAATGGCCGGACGCGTGGTGGCGAAATGGCGGAGATGGAAAAGAAGTTGGCTGATGATGAAGCGGCGGAGTCGAGAGAAGTTGAGATCAAGCTGCCAGCACAGAGTGTTCCCCTCCCTCGTAAGAAGCAGAACAAGGGGACCAAGGGCTCAACGCAGAAGACTATCAAGACACAAACGATGGGCACATGCGAGCGGTGTGGATATATATCGAGTCAGAAGATTTGCAAGGCATGCACCCTGCTCGAAGGGCTGAATAAGAACCGGCCCAAGACGGCGATCGAAGTTGGCGTGGGGTTAGAAGATGAAGAGAGCAGCAGCACACTCATGCGACAGATGGAACGGGTCCAACTGGGTGGCTGATACAGTCAACCTGATATCAACCAGTTCTTTCCGTCGTAGATCCCCTGGTCACTCCATCCAGACACATGTACAGCCTACAGCTGTCCCCACTAGCCGACAAATGCCGTCCACATATAAGGCCCGTCATCCAGCGCAGAGAGTACCCTCCGCGACACCGCACGGCCTACTATATATACATGGTGCAAAACCAAAGACATCACGAAGACAGACGCACAATGAATGAACGGACTCCACATGAATTATATAGTCAGTCAGTCAGATACCATAGAATAATATACAATCTATAAATGACACAGTCACACAATCATACAAGACACCCAAACTCCACATATATATAAACCCCCAAGTCTACCATATAACATTTCCTTTTCCCACCATATCCCCCATCCCCCCTGTGTAACCAGTATACCCCTAAACCAAATTCACTCCTCCTTCTGATCCTTAGCTTCAATAGGCAGATTCAACCCAACCCGCCTAGCCGTAAGTCTAATCTTCTCTTGCTCATCCATCGTCATGCCCGGGTTATACCGTTCAACAAGCCCAAGATATTGGCGCTGCGCGCGTGCATACTGCGCCACCTGCTCCGCCTCCTGGATATGAGCATGCAGCGTTTCTTCATCCGCCGATTTAATCTGGTCGCGGTAGAGCTCGCGGATGCGGTTGTGGAGAGGTGTTGGGTTTGAGAGGCTGCGGCGTGGAAGTTCGCGGAGGAGGGCGCGGTAGGTTGATCTTGCCTGGGCTTGGAGGGACATTTTGTGGTTTCTTCGTTTTAGTCAAGGGGTGTCACGTTTGGTTTTTGGTTCTTTGCCTTTTGTTTGTATTGGACGATTTGGGAGGTGTTGTTGAGGAGCTTATTTGGTTTGATGGTTTTGGTGGATCCTTCGGTGATGGTTGTTTTACTTGTGTCTACTATCTCTACGTGGTCACGTGATACTACTGGGGCAAGTTATGTGGATAGAGATAAAGCTATGTTGGGTGTAGCAGTAATATAGTAATATATTTAGACATGTCAATATGTATGTATGTACATCATAGACCAGACGATCGTCATCATTCATCAGGCATCTCGTCAGTACAAGTGTATGACTGGGTCATGGAATCGTTACCCTCATGGACAGGGATGACAACAGAAATATGAGACCAGGGAAATGTTCCATCACGCGCGCCTTTACGACCGTAACCAGCCGAACTTTTTGCGTCCCGTCTCGCCGCCAGCGGAGGGCTCGACCTGGGAACTGCGTGCATATAAATCCTAAGCAGGTCAGCAAATTGCAGAGATGCAATGTGGAAAGGGGATAAAAACTAACCTCATCGTCACCTGATAACTTGATATCGAGTATCAGCCGGGCTGCATCCTCATACCTCTGCAGATGAGGATAAGGCGTCTTCTGACTGCGCTGAATACCCAATACAACCTCCCCCATCACCTCAAATTTCCGCCAGTTGATCCTAGACTTGTTGTCTCCTACAAATGTTCTGTTCCCCTCTTCAGCGGAGACCAGATCTCGCCGGTGGAGTGGTAGGAATGGGATCCTTTCTGAGAAAGTATTGTCCCATGCTAGGCGATATGCAAAGTGGCTCTTTTGTGTTCCCATGAGGATAACCAGCCTCATGAAATCTTTTTGCGTTTGGATAGGTACAGAATCGCGCGTTTGCGACAGTCGATGCACTGGTGTTCCGTTGATTCCGGCGATTACTGCACCGAGCGAGTTATAGTTATTTAATCGACGCAGTTTCTGGTCGAGGGTTAGTGCAAGAAGAAAATGTAAGTGATACAGGAACTCACTTGTGCAACGTTCATGAACTTCTCTAACGCCTTCGCTCGGTGCTTGGGCTTGTCTCGGAAGAGGATAACACTAGCAACGAAAAATGCCAGATGATTGAACTGCTTGATCATCCGATTGACATGCTTTAAACTCTTGATCTTGTCTTTATCCGGCCCAGAGATACTGACATGTCGCACAAGATCCCGTGGCCGGAACGAGTTGAACATGATCCAGTCAATCCGGGTTAATTCGCGGGCGAAATCTTCATCAGGAATCTCAATGAACTGCCGCCATTGCATTTTTGACAATGATAGTCGAGGGGTAAGTTCTAGACTTTGAGATTCTTTCTGCGCAGCCTCCATGCTCAAAAACGTGAACGACTGGCTCGACACGGTGCCGGGCTTCTCGAAGGTAGCCGAGTTCGACAGCTTCGGAGATGGGTCAGATGCTCCTTCACTAAGATCTAACGCACTCATGTTGTATATAGGGTCTTCTTCCTCTTCGTTCTCCTCGCCTTCGTCGAGCGTCGATCCGCCAAGGAATAAGGATGGTGAGCTTCGACCGGAGTTGTTGAGGAAGGTCTCGTGTCCATCAAATTCATCAACGTCGCCATCTCTGAATGGCCAGCCTACATCATCATCTTCTGCGTTATTCTCGAGATAGGATCCAACCTCCTTTGCGGCAAACATGTAAAAGTGGCTCTTTTCCAGAGTAGACACAAAATCCGTGATCCGCTTGCGGGTCTTGGGGTAAGCTAGGTCGCCTGGATACTCCGATACCCAGGTGGACATAATATTGAGTAACCTTAACTGGTCCGCAATGCGAGTTAGTTGATCGGTAAAATTCTTCTCGTTCCGTTCAAATCGGTTGATAAGTGCATTTAGCAAGGTGGACGGGGCGGCAAACTTGCGATAAAGGCAGAGGAATATAGACGCGAATTTGGAGTCCTGCTTCGACATTGGTTGTGCAACAAGGCGATCAACGAGTTCATCAAACGTGAATCCGGCATCGTTCGAAGATCCATTTGAAGATCCTTCGCTCGACGCCTTTTCTTTGCCTTCCGGACTCGACGGAGCGCTAGCTGGCCCTTCCATTCCGTTGTCCATATCTAGAAAGCTATTGAAGGCATCTGAGCCACCGCTATTTCGCCAGGCGGCATGAAGCCGTTGCTGTCGACTGTCATCCTTTCCCGGTGACTCCTCCGCCGTTGATGTTTTGTGTGGATTCAATCGAGCTCCTGAAGGAGGAGTATGCGGTCGCACCGGATATGTATTGCTCCGGGAGAATCGTAAGACTTGCGCATTGGACGCCAGGTTTGAAGAATTCGAGGGGTCGGTGGGTTGGCGGTCTTCACCATACCCATCGACTCCCGGATCAAAGGTACTAGTGATGGGGCCGCCCGCGGCTCCAGTTAATGCAGCCGTGGGGTTCTCTGAGTTGGCACGGCTGTGATGCCAGTCCTGCGTAGAGGGTTTTTTGAATGAGTACGAGTAATCAATGGAGTCTAAAAGAATGTTAGTATCAAGTCAGCTTTAAACCAGCGAGTAGTAGGCAGCGGAAAGCGGATTGCACGCCGCGACGCCTACACCCTGAAGATCGGCGGTCGACTAGGGAAGACGCGAACGCTAGTCTCAGGCCGCGCCACGGAACTAGCGAGAACGTGGCGGACCACTCAAGGGATTGGCCAAGAAATATGAGAAAGGGATTCAGAAAACAACGGTACAGTGCAGAAGTTTCTTTCTGTTCTCGTTCTCTCCTCTCCTCTATGAGGGCTGCGTGAAATAAAGGGTGCTGCAGTAGTGGTGGAATGGCGTTGTTGGTAGGGCTTACCATATTTACTGTTAATAACTTCACGTAGTACCATTGAGATACACATCTTTTGCGATCGCGGCGATTCCGGGGATGTCTTGTGAATCTGGTAGTTCTTCAACGCAGGCTCGAGTGGTCCATCCGGTGCCTGAATGTCGCATTTGCTGGCGACCAATACAGATGGGAATGCAAATGCTGCTAAGGTGTCTATACATAGAATCAGTAAATGCGCTGGCGAAGCACAATAAAATCGCAGACATTACTAGGGATAGTAAAGAAGGGCCACATACCTAACAACCTTGTAAGTTCAGGGAGACCCACAGAACGTGTCACATCATGGACAACAAGAGCACCGTCTACTGACGGGGATTCGTTTCCAACTCGTGGCCACTCTAAGAGGCCATCATTCCCGATTGTTATCTCATTCGTGTTCATCTCTAGCAGGCGGACGAGATACACAGTCCCGTCTAACGACATCTTCTTCGTAGTCGCTCGTGACGAAAGTGGCTGTTTCATATCCAAGGCACTCTGAATAAACGTTGTTTTACCTACTTGGTCTTGGCCAACGACAGCAATGGTGACTAGTGGAAAGTTTGGCTTCGACGATGTCTGCACAGTGCATCATAGTTAGAACGATGCGCTTTCCCAGATCTTGCAACACAAATAGTTTTAGTTGTACCTCATCGCCAGCACGGGTAGATGGAACCCCATTCTTTCCGGAGGATGTCATGATTTCCTCTTCTTCTATAACAGACGGCTCAATCTTATTCCCGGTCTCTGTCGCCATTTTAGAAGAATCAAGTTTATGCAGACCACCGGCAGGGGCAGAAATTGTTCGACCTGGAAGACCCGGTCTTTGCGGAACGAACATGGCTTGGGCTTTGTCGCTAGATGACCGCTCTCGTCGCGGTGTCTGGGAGGTCATAATGGGTGATGCTCGCGCGAACCCAGCGCGGCGGCGTTAGGGAATATCCGATACAGCAAACAAGGTCCGACAGCGCAAGGTCCAACTGCTGCTACGTGAGTAAGTGAAGCAGACACGGCAGCTCATCCATTGTCGCTCGCAACCCAGACTGAGAGTTATCGGAGTATTTGCAATCGAAGGGATTGTTCAAAGCGATACCAAGGACGGTCGGCAATTTGATCCTTTGATTTCTTCTAACACGGATGTCAATCCCTTTCGCTTTCCTCTTCTCTCTCTGCACTTTTTTTCCCTTTTTTTTTATTTTTTTTATTCTGTGATGCTTCAGAAGCCGAACACCGGAGAGGGAAACTAGACGCAAACAAATCCAAAATTAGCAATGAAAAATCCAGTATCCGTAAATAAGAGTTGGACAGAATCTCACAAGAGAATACTCGTGACGTTGAGAACAAATACTTTTTATGCTGGGGAGGAGCTTCAGTGGTCGTAAGATCAGCCGAAGGCGAGTTTGCGCGCAACAGACGGAGCGATGTCACTGGCCCGACAGAGCCCCAGAAAACGATGGAGAAGCTGGTCGGAAGAAAGCTGGACAGTTATTATAATTAGAAACACACGCACGCACGCACGAGTGCCCTGGGGGCGAATCAATCAGATGGAGAGAGAAAAACAAAGAAGACCCATCGATGTCAATCTGCTAGGGAAATACCTTGTACAGGAAATAATAGTTTAACTTCTGCGTCCTTCAAAGGCGTTGTGCGCCCGTCCGAGTTGGGATCTTCACACCGCGTAGGAAGCCGACGGGACCCTTCAAAAAGTTCGTCTTCTAGGGAGGAACATAGTCTTTGACCTGGTTTTCTTTTACTAGATTTCGTTTATATGTAAGGGAGGAGCGAAATAAAGAATAAATAGTAAAACTACACTCAGCTTGAAACTTAATGAAGGACCGGTTAAAATAAAACATAAACAAAATACAAATAATGAGAAACTCAAGTGACTACTCCGTAAATGACTCGAGAGCAAAAAGAGCTTCGGAGGCCACCGGGAATCATTAATGGCCATGTGTGATACAAACAATGAGACGGTAGCTTTACAGCCTCTCCGAATCAGAACAGGAGAATGGGGATCAGGCATCTCATTGCTGCAAAACACATCCCCCCCTCTCAAGGTGTGATCATTCCCATGGTCTTTACATCGCCGATACTAGTAGACACATGCTATGCCATCCATATAGTAAGAAATACGGATATCAACAACCTAGGTGTTGCTAATAGCCTAATATGGGTAGTAAGTATACTATACCTAGGCATATATATATTAAGACAACACATGATCTCCATAGGAAAGTCCGTCCGAACCCTACTCCGTACCTACTCCGTACCTACTATGATCATACCTCTTAACAATGTCTTTTCACCTACGGAGTACGGTCCTAGTTCTCCATGGGATGCTCACGAGGCAACTAGACCTACCCAATAAACCATCTCTCAAATCCTCCTATTTTTACTATTATTATTTTTTTTTAAATGTAAAAACCCAAGGGCTCGCTTACCATTGGGATCCCTAGGATAGGTGTATCGACTTGTGGTCAAGGATACGCTAAGACCATAGTTCGGGACGGTTTCACCTCGTCAAATGAAGGCCGCGTTGCACGACCTTCCCCACGAGTAGACGGGGGCTTGGATCCAGACCAATAATGAACGGACTACGTACTCGATTCCAATCCTGGAGTCACATCAATTCATGTTCTCTAGAGGGTCAGTGTACCTTTACAAGGTTGGATCAATGAAAGCAGTTTGATTCGGTGCTCACTGATTCATTAGTTCACAGGCACTTATTCAATGACATCCCGAAGTTCCATACGGAGTAGACCGCGCGGGTAGGTGTTTTCCCCGATCACCAACACCCAAGCACTAAAGGAAGTAAGAATATCTATCACACATATCACAAAACTTTGGTTCAGCTCCACGGCGTTAACCTAGTTTGTGTCAACAGCAGCGGCTTTGTGTGGTCCAGCCTCAAGCGGATCTGTCAATTAAAACTGCATTAGTCTCCATCAGACAGCCAGTCAAACGAAGTTCATTTATTTTTTATGGGGAACATCGTGCTTGCTGACATTGTTGGTTTCTGCCGATGGCCCGAGTGTCAACATGAAGTCCTCGAACGGAGTATGTCCCTACGCTATGGCTATGCAGGGCCGCAGACCACGGTCATTCTGATTATTGCAGCCTTCCCAGGGTGGTAGTGTTTTAAGCTTATATGCCTAAGTCAACAATTCCCGTCTAGTCACCTAGCAGCGGAACGGAGGGCAAGTTAAACATAGTCGGATCAGTTAATATGCATATCTCTAGAACCTTATAACCTCATTCTTGATTACTCTGATTTGTTTGATTTCTTCTTCGTAGGTTGTTAAAGAGTACTATACATCAATCAAGGTTACCACGAATATACTCGGCCCTCTGCTGAGGAACTCTCCGAGGTGAACGGTTGTTGGTTTATTGCCCGATATTTTTTTTTTTTTTTTACAAACATGTTCAGCCTCGGCACAGTTAATTGAGGTCGAGGATGTCTGGCAAACACATGACTCTAAAACTCCCGTTCTATGCACACGAGATGTTACCCCAGGCAGAAGAGAAAAGAGGAAACGAAATAAGTATACATTATGCAGATTCCCGAGGGAAACGCTCTCCATTGACCAAGGCTACGAATCGCATGTAGCCTTCGGCATTTTTCCCGACCTCCGAGCCTTCCTCGCACATCTCCCTTAGTTTCCTGACTTTTCCCAACCCTCTGTTGAAGCCCTTCTCACGAGTCCAAGGTCCTCGGCTGCGAGGGGCTCCCTTTCCCCGTCCAAAGGGTCGTCGGCCTCCATGAGCTTGAGTCTCAACCCATTCCTCCTCAAGGGTAGCCTTGTAGATATCTCGTAACTGGTCACGTAGTGCTGGATAACGATCGAACAGCCCCTTAAGTTGGGGTGAGGACCCTAAAGCACGGGGGTCGGTATCGTTCTGTGACTCATGCGTATTTTCACCAGTATGCCCATTGACTTCTTGTGGTTGGTGACGGGTACCATTCACTTCTTCGGATGTCTTTGGCGATGGTGCTTTGGGCGCACAATAGATCTTGTGAGACTGGGTGCAGGCGAGCGAGCAGCTGGGGGATGCACATTAGTAATTTTGCTTTTTCTTATATGCCATAATTGCATCTGTGGATCAATTCACAGCTTGATGCTTTTCTTTCTTTTTAATAAATCATAAAACTTACCTCATAAGCCCACATGTCGGACATCGGTATTTGGAGGGTTCCGAGGCGCAAACCTCGCATGTATTAGGCATTTTCTTAGGGCAGCCTTAGAGCTTTCGCAGCTGCGCAGCATTCAGTCAGACCCCCTCAAGCATGTTTGAGCATCCAACCACAATGGGCTTATTAAAATCAGCCTTAGTGTTCAAGCTTGTCGATCTTAAAACACCTGGGATGGGCCGGAAGCGATCGAAAATGGCAATCGAGAACAAAAGAGCACTGAAATGGATGAGTCAGCATAAGACCATGCCTGAAAAGTACTAGTGTTTCTGCTGCTTCATGGATACCGTTCTACATACCTTTAGTGCTTTAGATGGATCAACAGTCTTCATATTGATTGATTGCCGACATTAAACTGCTTTGCTAAACTTCTCAATATCGGCTCGGCATACAATTTTCGAAGCTCCCCATGTGCACGCAATATGGCATAGAGCTTTCAGCAAGCTAACAGCTTGGGCAACAAACAACGTTGTCCATCGAGACACTAAAGTTTTTGTCTAATGCTTCCTAATTCCTGGTGGATATAATTTTTTAAAGGTATCATAAGGATTGTACTTCTGCTCAATCGATCAAGCACTCTGAGTTCACCTGGAACATATCTGCTGGTCCCAAATCGCAACCTAAAAGTGAAGGATGAGCATCCTGCCGATAGTCTGGCATCCGGAATAAGGAGGCCAAAATGTCTGCTTCGGGCCATTAAAGAAGCCATATCTCCTTGTGAAGTAAATCCGCGGTCTCCGTATGACCAACCGCGAGCCTGGCAACAGCAGGAATGAACCCAGCAGCAATTTTGTCACACCGTATTTTCTTACTGGACGTGAGACTTGAGAGCCTGGATCTGACCCAAAAGGATTTTCAAGACTTTTCTTGCTTAGCAGAAAATCACGTCCACTTATCAGTATTTTATAAGTCTCTTCTGTCGAATATATGAAAGGGGTGCGGTTCGTTCGCCGGCCACCAACATAGCACTTGCTGACGGAGTATCAGAGGGCAAAAATTGATAGTAATGCTCTGATATCCAGTTACTAAAGAAACTTTCATGAACGGGAGCGAGAGAGAGCTCATGTGGACATACAAGGATTCACAATCAGGGGATCTAATCAGATATCTCTCAAACAACACTGAAAAGCCCCCTTGGCTTTCCAGATGCTAAGGTCAATGACAATCTCTTCTACGGCAGGTGATTTGCAAGCCGCCCACTTCATTGGTCAGACCAGTCAAAATCTTGGTAAATTAGTGTCCATGGAGACAGACCTAACATTGGATAGCCTAGTTGACTTATTCAATGAAGCCAGCAACGCCAGCAGTGGCCATATACAATCCCCGAAGTTGAGCAGGACTCTCAACTTCGCGATGACGACAATTACTGCCTGGCTTGCAAGCCGACACAGATGGTTCAGCATTGATCACCAGTTCATTTTCGTTTATTTATCTCATTATATCCCTCCCTACCAGCCATCACGAAGATAGCTTACCTGGCTGGGCTTCTTGGTAGGCTCGTTGCCAATGACCGTATTCAGAATTGCGTTTCATGTTTGTGCTAAGCTAAACTGGTGCGAACCTCATGAAAGCTCCTTTGTACGGAATACCATCGGCTTCATCGCCTCATTCAGGATCCCGAAGGCTGGTACACTGTGTGTCAAGCATTGATGTATGGAACGTCAATGGATTGACTTAAAAGCACCGAAAGAGTCATTGCAGATGGATCGTTAACAACTACACCTAGTCTCCACATCTTGGGACGCTGGATGGCATAGTAGAACCCCTACCCTCAATAAGCCACCATTCGGGAACAGCTATATCTTGATTTGCAGACACTGTCGGCCACCTCTTCCTCATTGTGACTGCATTCGGGGCTCCCGAAAATCTGAGAATTGAGTCTAGCAGAACAAGGCCAAAGTCGGAGAAACCCAGAGAAGTGGGGATAGGATCAGCAGCCTAACGGTCACACGTGATCCACGGCCACTTTCCATGGTTCATCCTCTGGCTTCGTAGGAGAGGGGCGTAGTATCTTGATCAGAGACATTGTTTGCAAGTTCATCTTATGTGCAGCCAATTTGAGTCAAATTCTTCTCTGGCTCACCTCTTTCGCTTCTGCGGCGCGCGGCAACTGAAATGACATCAGACCCCGATTCATGAAAATGGGCGGCATACCGTTTAAGTCTACTGGGTGCAATACATGCCGGCGCCGAAAGGTTAAGGTAAGACTAAACACAAATTCTTTCCTACGTAACAAACCAGCATGCCGGGCCATTGGGTTATAACGCATGCTTAGTGCGATGAACTCAAACCGGAATGCCTCCGGTGCCTCAAGAACGGCCATATCTGTACCGGTTATGAACGGTCAAGAGTTTTCATACACAAATCTCCCAATGAAATGGAGGATGGTGCGCAGAAGCTCACCCGGCGTCCAAAAGCTCTCCTGGATGGTCCTAGAACTCACCAAGTAGACCAGGTGGGACCCGAAATTCAGTTAAATACAAATGTGGAGGTCCGATCTCAATTGTTCCAGTCCTTCATAGACAGTTACCTGCCCCAGTCAAAATATATATGCGACAGGACAGGGAAGAATATCCTTCAAACCCTTCCAGATCTCTCTGGGAGTAGCTTGCTCCTAGACAAAGCGGTCGTCGCTCTCTCCACGGCATTTCTGGCAAAACAAAACCAAGATAGAAATTTACTGCAGAACAGCACTCAAATCTACGGGAATGCCATTCAGATGCTAAATGGTAAGATAAGCTCCGGGAGAACTTTCGGAAAAGATGTCTGGTATACCACGATAATCTTCCAAATATACGAAGTATGTCTCACAGATATACTTGCACTCGGTCCCACTGCTATCGCATGAGCTGACAGCGAAGCAGTTAATCAATTGCTCTCCACCGGGGTTTGGGGCGTGGATTGCCCATGTCCAAGGCAGTAGTGCGGTCATCAACCAGTGCTCCGGACAAGATGACGAAACCGCTACCTCAAGGCTCTTTCGTCGTCAACTCAAGTTCGTCACTGTTAGTGTTCTGATCCTCGAGAAGTTTCCCACTTGTACCTGCTGATGCTTAGCAAACCAGTTGTGCGATGCAATTGGAAAACGCAAAGCGCCCGATTTCTATAACTCTTCGGCCTGGCAGGGTAGCTCGTTGCAAGACACAGATGGCCCTGAGCCCATCGATGAGCTTATTGATCGGTTGGCGGACTGTTGCGCTTTGATGGAACAAGTTGACAGATTTCTCGAGGACCCGGTTGAAGGCCACGACCAGATTCAAAGTACTGGGCGAGATTTGTTATTCTCTTGTTTCTCTTTAGAGGAAAAGCTCCATCGAATCTGTTGCATGACGCAGAAAGAACTCGGAAAACCTTCAATATCACCTGCTAATATGACTTGTCGAAAGGATTTTAGAAGCTCTCTCTACACCCACTTATTGCCCAAGCCCTTTCAGTTCCCGTCTCTCACGTGTGCAGAGGCTCATCTAATATACTGGACTGCATTAGTATTGCTCTATCCTCTGATAGACCAATTACTTGAGGTTCTCCGACTTTCGGCGGGCCATGTCTCTCTGGATAGCTACTACTCAACTTCTTGCGAGCACGCAAACTCTGGAGTCACGCTGAATCTGGAAAGTATAGCTGATTTCACTACTCTTGCCGAGCACTATGCTGACCAGGTCTGTCGCTCTGTTATTTATTGTTTACAACCAGATTTGAAAACTTTGGGCGCCCAGTTACTGCTTGCTCCCTTGAGTCAGAGCGCACAGTTCTATAGCGTACATGAATTGGCCAGAAAATACAGGTGGTGCCAGGGAGTGTTTGTGCTTCTGCCCCAGCTAAGTCTTGGTATCGGGTATTTTCTGAAGGATATGGTCTGGCCCAAATACCGTTCTTCGCAGAGGAGGTATCTGACTTCCCAATCGATATCGCCTGAGTGAGAGCAAATTTGGCGATTACAGCCGTCAACACCTATGCGAACAAGATAGCAAGACATTGGGCCACGCCGGGTATGACCAGGATAAGCCGACCACGCAAGCACAAGAGCTCTGCTAAGTTTCCTCTAAAGGCCAGCTTCCATGTGCCAGCGTCAATGCCCATCGAGCCCAGACAAGAGACTTGTCTGGGAGAGAGCTCTGAACGTGTCGTCTATCATACATAATAAATGAGTGTAGGCAGTTATCAGCTTTAAGTCCTTTAATGCTATGCTCCAATGGTTATCACCATCGATCAGGGAAAATCCGCCTTTTTGTCTTCGTTGGCTGGTACGTTATCATCACATATCATGTGTTACGACCCTAGAGTTTCCAAATATATATAATATGTTCATATGATGTGTGTATGTGTGGTAAAATACATGTTGAGTTACTTGTAAGTAGTGGAGCATGTACGGAGTACTCCGTACTGTATATACATACGGTCGAAAGAAGAGCAGCCCTTTGAAAAAAGTGAGGAGACTACTGTTCTCAGGAATGCTCGAAGCATGGACTCCGATGTTCGCTTTCCGCGGAATGCAATGCACCTTTGGAATGTCGGGTAAATGCCAATCTGCCACCTTGTGATTGGCTCGAGTCAATTACCGATTTATCAGCAGGTTCGTTTCCCGGAATCACGTGAACCCATTGCGTCAGAGTGCCGGGCGGTCGGAAGAAAGTATTGTACTTTCCATCAACTATCCAAAAACAATTTCCAAACAGACAAACCAGATACGCCAGTGTACTAGGTTGCTAAGTTCACAATATGTCTGCCAGCTCAGTATCCGGTGCCATGCTTAGGCGAACTATTTTGAACTCTAGAGTCACGGCACAGCGTTTGAATGTGGTTGAGCCTTCCTCGCGCACCGTCCTCCCCAATGTCTTTGCATCTTACAGAACTATCCACCGTTCGGCTCGGCTGCCCGCTATTACTGCCTCGGAGGCTCGTCATCGGCCGACTTTGCGACCTCACCAACAGTCTGCAGTGACCCGTGTGAATGGGCCCTCCCCAGTCAGCAAGCGCTCAATCTTCATCCAAACCGAGAATACACCAAATCCCGACGTAGGTCTATGACTATTCAGACCATTTCAATTGGACTCATACTGACGCTGAGACCTGGCTTTAGGCTCTGAAGTTCATCCCTAACCATCGTGTCCTCCCGGAGGATTTCCCGACATCGTTCCTCGAGTACCTGTCGCCTCGCTCTACCCTCGCCCCTCCTCACCCTTCCCCTTTGGCTGCGAACCTGTTCAATGTTGACGGAGTCACCTCTATCTTCTTTGGGCCCGAATTCATCACTGTGACTAAGGCAAGCGACGCAAACTGGGCCCATATCAAACCCGAGATCTTCAGCTTGATTACGCAGGCTGTAACCTCCGGCGAGCCGATCGTCAACACGGTCGCTAAGTCCGGAGAGAACGCGCAAGAGGGCGGTGAGGAGGAATCGCTCAGCTACAACGAAGAAGACGACGAAGTTGTCAGCATGATCAAGGAGCTCCTGGAGACAAGAATCCGGCCGGCAATCCAGGAAGACGGAGGCGACATTGAGCTTCGGGGTTTTGAGAACGGTATTGTGATGCTGAAGTTGCGCGGTGCCTGCCGGACCTGCGACTCTAGCACTGTCACTCTGAAGAATGGCATTGAGTCTATGCTTATGCACTACGTAAGTTTCCCGCCTTTTATTTCCCCCCTTGGGGTTGCTTGTTGGGGTAGGTGGCTAATGGTGCATTTCTGGACAGATCGAGGAAGTGCAGGGAGTTGAGCAAGTGATGGATGAAGAAGAGGAGATTTCGATGCACGAATTCGCCAAGTTTGAAGAGAAGTTGCGCCAGCAGAAGGGTGCTGCTGCCACCGCTTCTACGGGAGGCAAGGGAACTCTGGACTCGGCCCCATAAAAGCATTGTATTCTGCCCGTGTCGTTGTTCGTTTGTTTCGTTTATATACCATTGGTTGCATATCAATGTTTTAATGAGTGGATAGAAGAATTTTGCGTATGGAAATGCTCATGTTTACGTCTCTCCGTAATGGGGACTTGTACAATAACTATCAAATAAATTATAAAAACATACACCTCTCCATAGAGTATTCTATAATGACTCTGATGAGCAAGACTCACTAACAAATCCAACAAGTTATAGACTAAGAACAACAAGATTAACATATTCCTCAATCTGGGTACCTTCCCAAGCTGAAGAGGTCCTGCATTCGCCACGGCTCTACGCCAACAGCCCAGCCTCTCGCCACAGAAAAGTAGAACAAATTGGGCGTCGGGAATGAGGAGCCGAATGCCGAACACACAAAACGAAAAACTACAGGCACATGCCGCAACGACATACCCCAACCAAGCAGAGCCAATACCACAAGGGGGATTGAAAAAACAAAGATACTAGCGTCGGGTGGGAGCGCGGAAGGTGGAGTTCCAAATTGGAGAAGTGAGGCCTAGGGATGCAATGGACTTTCTCTCGGCCGGGGGGCGGGGGGGGGGCTCAAGCGGAGGTAGTGCTAATTTAGTCGATGTCTTGGGGCCTACGGACAGAATTTCTAGTTACTAAGGGATGTTTGTATTCGAATTTTACTGTAGGGGATGTGTGAAGCACCTGACTTCCCAGACCTGGGAGGTTTATATGAAAGGTAGGCATGGTCGGACCTGCCTGGAAGGGGCTGCGGGGTTCTAGATGCGGGTCGAAATCATAAAGTCTTATCCGTATGTGGTTGACAATTGTGAGATCGGATCGGCTTTCAGATATTGCCGGTGGGAAGTGGAGGATGGGATGGAATAATTGGTTTTCTTGCTTGTGTGTGGCTGAGGTGTTAGTCGGAGTGTATCGTATACGAGTATCTGCCATTCTCCATATATATTCGTGTACACTGATGTACCGTTACGGGATCGGCAGAGACCTCTAGTCAAGGAGGTATTAAACCGAGTCTCGGGGAATATAAGCATCACGACGATAACGAGAAGGATCCAAAATTAAAAAAAAAAAGAAGAAAAGGGGGGAAAGAGGAAAGGGAAGGAAAAACTTTGATCAAAGAAATCCTGTCAATACGGTATCAGATGACGATCAATGAGAGTAATCGTGCAACATCCCCACGTCACCAATTCGGTCTCGGTTGAAATATTGCATAGTGATGGAGCTGAAGACTGGAATGGACATCCAGCAATCCGTGGGTTACCATCCATCTTTGGTGTCATTAACCACCATTGACCCAGTGGCCGCGAGAAGGGCCCAACAGCTCTCAACCATGGGTGGGGCTGCAGAGCTCTTCCTGTTGGAGAAGTGAACTGTCTGTTAATGTTGCAACCCCCTTGGACTAACGAAAGGGGTAGCCAGGGGCCTGAACGGCCAGTCACTGTGGGAGATGGAACTTACTTCTTGAGGATATCGGTGAGTAACGGAAATCGCTCTCCTCTGACGACAGGGAGTATAGTATGGCTGGAAAGGAAAAAAGAACCTAGGCAAATGCAAAGGCGGCTCGTGGACTGAAAGAACCAATGCAGGAAAGCTCTCTCCGCAATTTGGATGGCAGAAGATCCTGCATGACATGGGAACTTGCGTCTTGTAATTGGACGGCATTCCTTCGGCCCTAACTTTACTGGTGAGGAGGTCATCTTTTCATGACAATATGATTTGATTGCGTCCTTCTTCCCCCGCAATTTCGGATGCGCTTCTTTTTAGTGCGGCACATGGTTGGTCCAAAAGAGATTCCTAAAAGAGGGGAGATGATGTTCGACCTCCTTCAATTAATGGATGGAAGTATGGGAGGGTTAATCATGTACCTGGGACCTGAGATGTTTGCTTCGAACACGAACAATTTTCCTGGATGCTTTTGCTGTTTTTACCCAAAGATTGTCGGGTATCGTGGAGTGTAACGTAACGACAGTATGACGTTATGATACAAGAGAAGTGGTCTGACACCTGTGATCCTCTTTTCTTGATTTTCGGAAATAAGGATGGAAGAAAAGTAAAAAAGAAAAAAAAAAAGAAGAAGAAAAAAAAAAGGAAAAGAAAGAAGATTTGTTAATAAATATAAGGCTATGAGTGACTCAATTTGGTCCTTTCTCTTGTACATTATATATGGAGTACAAGAGAATAGCTCCCTGTTCGGGTTGCTTCCGGGTGGTCTCTGTAAACCTCTTAAATGGTAGCGCATACCAAATGGTGGGGCAACTGGGAAGAGACCACCACACACACACACACACACACACAGTTAAATGTCAGCCGACGATTTTTCATATGAATCAATCAATCAATCGATCCATTCAATTCAATTCAACTCTAGTTATACTCTCTCTCTCTCTTTCTCAAAGTCTTGGTTTATACATTTCTTTGTTACGGTTGGGACCCCGTAGTCAAGCGCTAGTATAGGTATTTGGTCGCATGAGCTGTGCATTAAGCATGAGGGGATGATGCAATTGAATGAGGTGAGAATACCCTTCCTCAAGTTCGTTCCCTCAATATATTTTCGTGGAATAGATCGTAGTGACAGAGAGTTTATCTTTCTCTATTCAAGTTGAAGATATAGATAGGTACATACATATACATGGGAGAGGCACCACCTGTGTCTGTTCACTGATACGTAGGACTTTGTGAAATCCAAGGACGCTGAGAGGTGGCTCGGGGCATCCGATTCCCTTTTGAAAACCCCGGAGGATCTTCAACTTGGCCTCCACTCGACCCACTCAAAGCGTTCCATCGATGGCCGACCAGTTCCTTGCACCTGTCTGCCTGTCTGTCATACTACACTAAGTACCACTTTACTTGCCGCCACCACTCATTCTATTACATGATCTTTGCTACATTGATCCCATACCTAAGGCATTACTGGGACTGATGAATGGTCGGAAGCGACGAATGCTTTCTCGTAGTATTTCCTTCCCCTCCCATCAATCCGGCGCGTGAATATCTTTCAATTCGTCCGCGCACCTCTTTCTTCATACCTACTGCACTCGACCTGTGGCTCCATGCGAGGTTTATCTAGGCTCTTCTGTCAAGATATCTTACCCCGCCTCCCCCCCAAAGTAATTAAAAACGCTCCCGGACTCAATTCAACATTGGTTGGTCCATACACCCATGTATGAATGTCGCCCAGAGGCACAGGCCAATGAACCCACCATCTCAATGAACTGACTCCCTGAACCTAACCACGATTATGGTAGTAGCTTGACGGACCACTTGCGCCACTTCCTCTCGGTGCCCCGACCCGTGGCTCGTCTTTCTCCTCCTTCGTGCCCACTATCAGTGGCCTGAGGTTTAGGTACATTAGCTGCTGCGACGGTTTTAGCTTGCATTTTTTTTTTTTTATCTATCCATCCTTTCTCATTACTGTACAACTTCTCCTCCTTTTTCTAATTTTCTTTTCGCCTCCCTCGAGATTTCTCTTTTTTTCTTCTTTTTCTTTTTTCCGCGTCTTCCTCCTTCTCGGAACAGATACTACTTTGGAATTTGATCTCTCTACCTCACTTTCCTCCGTACTCAACTATTAGAGCACCGTCACCCGCCTTGTGCCCCTGGCCCACCTCCCGCATTTTGGGGCGACAGATCGATCCAGCAACGTTGCAGAAGCCACACTCCGGCTCTCTCCAAAGCACCTTTACGAAGCTGCTACGCCGCTTTCAACTCCTCGCCCTCACGCCTCCAACCTCTCTTCGCCACAACCAACACCCATCGAAATAACAACGATTAAAAAGACACGCATAAAAAGAGAAAACGTCCTTCGTAATCAGTTTGATTTTTGCTTGATTGAATCGCGACGATTCATTCTTATCTCACCAGTGATCTCGCGTGCGCCCGCCTCGAAGATGCGCTACTCTTAAGGGGATCTACCCATAAGTTACTGGAGCCACACTGATTCCCAACGTCATCCGTTTAATGGTCACGCTACCGTCTGCGATCCCGCGCTTTCTGGACCAACTTTCTTGTCGCAACTCGACATCGAGTGTATCTCTAGATTCCCCGTGAACGGAATCAATTTGAATTGAGCTGGGCAATAACGTTCTTATCAAAATAAAAAGACCAAAAAAAAAAATCTACCCAAAGAAATAAAGGGAAAAAAGAACAAAAACAAAGAAACAGAACGATTATTCTCTCGGATAGGGGTCCATCTTGCCCGACCTCTTTGCCTACGGCCTTTTACAAGACGCGATAGAAGCCTGGTCGCTTCTTTCAGCGCAATCATTACCTTCTTTTATACTGCAACGGAGATGCTCATTTGATTTAAAGATTGCCTTGTTATTTGGGATTGGATAGACTATTAAGAAAAGTTTCGTTTTTATTAGACTGGTAAGTCGGCATCATACGACGAAATACGCAGAATTACTCACAGTCCCCGGCTATCTTAACAGACGCGATCACGAACTTCATCTGCTTGTTAGTAACCTGTCGAGTCGATCGGCAATATTTCACGCTTTCTATATCACTTACTGGTTTGATCCGAAATTGTACTTGCGAAAGGTATGTGCAAAGGATTTATTATATTGGATGTTTCAAGGCTGTTGAGATGAGTGTCGAGCAACCCGCAATTTTCCCCCCGCAGCCCGCATTCCACTGCATGTTTTACGTTGCTTTTTTGTTCCTTTTCCCCCGCGATTTGTCCCAGACCCAATGGGGAAGCTTTGCCATGTTGTAGCATCAACCTTACATTCAAGCAATATGCACAAAGCGTTCTGAATGCCGAGAAGGCACACCAGGGTCAAAAAGCGTTGGGATATATGCCTTCTCTTATTTGTTATTCAATGTCCTTCAAAACTCCGCGAGTCAACTACAGCAGAAACCCTAAGCAAACATCGTCATACTCCCAGAGATTCAGCAGCTTTCATTGGTAGTCAGTGAGGGATGAATCGAGTACTGCCTATATTGCGTTGAGATTCTCTTTCCATAGGGTTGGCAGTCATCTGACATGCTATACTCGGCAATTCACCACGTCCAACTCCCAATATCGCCACCCGCAGTTGCTGGCGGTGTATATACCCTTTCATCTCCATCATGATCCTCCGACATGATTCGTTTCTCTATTTCTCGAAGTACCCAGATATATGTATTCCTTTACTGTCGCTTAGTACAACCCACATGTGTCTCTCTAGCCTTGTGTTTCTGTTCGTTCTACTGCACACTTCCTTCCCATTGCAATATTTATGCAAATCAAACTGACCTTAGTACAACAAGACTGTTTATAAATCTCAGATTGCCTTCGTCTTTTTTTTTTTTTTTTTTTTTTTGTGAAAGACTTGTCTTCAGAATTCATAGATTGTCTCGACATTGTCTGTTAACCTTGCTCAGTTTTTCATCTTCGAAAATCGACCACACGCTTTCTGAAACTTGAATCTTTACTTTGACTACCGACCGGTGATTCGTTTCGACCGCTTCTGAAGGCTAAACGCAAACCTTTCATCCCTCGTCTCAGCATATAACCGCTGATCTTGATCTTACAAAGCCTGGGTGAGTAACCTGTGTACCTCCTAGCCACTGGTTGATAGCACCGTGCTGTTGCGAATCTAAAAGACAGCCCTCCTTGTTCCTAGCCACAGCATACTGCATGCATTGCTAACTTCTTGTTCCTAGGTCTCTCCTTGTCTTTATAACTTAGAAGTCTGGCAGAACTTGCTTTTTTCTGCAATTAGGGAGGGACTCCTTCAACTTCTATAACACTATGGCTGCGCAAGCCAATAAGCCGGTGCAGGCAATCAAGTCTAGCACTTCTTCCACCCCAAATGCTACTGCTTCTGTCAGACTGGAGAAAACGCACCCAGGTGTTCGCCGCTCGACGCCTGATTCGGAGGCGTTGGCGTCGTCCGATGACGACGTGGAACACACGCAGGTTACATCTACATCTACTATTGCACCCGTTCCAAAGCCTGCACGTCGTACTTCGTGGCTCAATGAAGTGCCTGCCAATATTCACCGAAAGGCTTCTTTAACTAGCACTGGCCCCCTGTCCTCCGGCGCTTCAAACCCGACTAGTCCCGCGACCGACCAGTCCGGATGGCCTAGCACGAGCCCCGTAATGAGTAGTTCCATCAGCTGGAATCACGTTGGGAGTGGCTCATTCCCATGGGGCACTGGAATTTGGAACACCGAATCTCGAAAAGAGCCACCACCTCGTCTGGCTGAAATCGTCCCGTCCCCCACTATGTCTAACCGTTCAACCGCAAGCAACTATTTTAATGACGAGTTGCTGAGCCCTACGACCCGCACGACATCTGGCGAATCGGCTATTCCTTTCTCAATTCCGCTGCACCCAACCCCTAAAACCTATCGTTCGCAGTCGTACTCGGTGGGCCAGTTAGATCCAGAATTTTTAAACCTAATGGCAAACAAGCCTGGTGCGACTTACTCCGGCGGCGCTCGCTCTCGAAATGGGGGTCAGTTTTCTGCGTTGCAGCATCGCTCATCCCGGCCTAGTCTTCTCGAGTTGGGTCATGATCCTGCTACCCTTGGTCGGGTCCGCGAAGACGATGACGGCGAGGATGGAAGCCCCAACGGCTCGGAACATAGTCTCAGCAACTACGCCAGTAATCAGGCCCGCACCATTGAACAACTGTCGCGAGAGAACGCTCTTCTGCGTCAGGCTGCCGGGCAGATGGATAGCAGCTTCCGAGACCGTGCTATGTCGTCCGCTTCCGCGACCGGCGGATACGTGGTTGGCGCAGGTGCTCATAACTTGCACCGCATCCGCGGTAGTGTCCCAGAAGAGGCAGATTTAGCAGTGGAAGATCTTGACGAAGTGGGCGATATCCCCGGCTACAACAGTATCCATGGCAGTGCCAGGAGAAGGTTTTCTGAGCACTCGGCCAACCTTGAAAAACAATTTCCACCGTTCACTTCACTGGAAAACCGGGCTCTGGATAATGCCAGGAAGGCCCACTGGCAAACCTCCCTCGGCTTTGGCAGTATGGCCGATATTCCTCAGAGTCGACGGCACTCTTTTGCCGATATCCCTATTCGGCACGGTTCTATTTCTGGTGAATCACAAGTAATCGCAACCTCGAGACCTGGGATTGGAGACCGGGAGGATAGCTATGTTGGTGTCACTGAACCTGCCCTTTCAAACGCGCAAGGCCAGAATCGTGAGTATTATCGTGTTCATATGGCTCCTCGTCCCGAAGAGCATGAAATGGAAACGGAGTATTTACGAGCTCGTCAATTTGCAGAATCCTACTTTGCTCGAGATCAAGCTCTTCGTGCTGCCGAGGCTCCCTCCGCAGTGCCGACATCCCTTCACCAAGCATATACGATGCCGACTGCCTATGCCCGCCACCAGGCAGGCCTCGCGCATTCACACCAAAACCAGCTTCTTTACATTGTGACGTTCAAGTGCCACCGTGCGGATGTTTTCTACATCCAAGAAGACACGGGCCTTCAAGTGAAACCTGGCGATTTAGTCATCGTCGAAGCCGACCGCGGCACCGACCTCGGAACCATCCAACATGCCAACGTTTCCATGCAAAGGGCCCGTGAACTGAAACAACAGTATGCTGAAGAACATTACAAATGGTTGATGATGTTTTCTAGACAAGGTCAGAGTGGAGCGGCCAATGTCATCAGTCCCTCGGGGGGGTTGAACAGCCGAAGCGCCATTGGTGGCATGGGTCCTCATGGTCCTCATGGAGTGCAGGAATCGGCTGCAGATATAAAGCCAAAGTTGATCAAGAGACTTGCTCAGAACCATGAGATTTTAACATTGCGTGATAAAGAAGGCAACGAGGCGAAGGCCAAGCGGGTCTGCCAGCAGAAAGTTGCAGAACATCGGCTCAACATGGAGATACTTGATGCGGAATTCCAAATGTCAGTATCGTATAAGAATTACTATGGATGACTCTTGATGCTAATAAATTTCTACAGGGATTGGAAGAAGCTTACTTTTTATTATTTCGCGGACTCATATATCAACTTCAACTCTCTTGTGACTGATTTATTCAAGATATACAAGACTAGGATTTGGATGTCAGCCATCAATCCGGCTTCGTTTGTCACGCCCCCAACTGCTGGCTTGCAGCCTCCAAACCCTCTGGGCTACAATAACGAGAACCAGACAGACCGATCTCATCACCCAGAAAGCAGGGCATACGGCCATGCTCGTGACGGGGTTGATAGAGAAGCTATTGCCAACCAGATGGGTGCGTTGCGTAACGCATACACAGAGTCCTATCAACCTTTCGCGCAGGGTCTTCGCCAGCCGGAATCTGGTTTGGGTGCGCTCGCTACTGGTGACCCTTTTTCTCCCTACTCACCCACAGCGTATGGTGGCTTAGAGTCTAGCTATGTTGATTATGCGACTAGTCCTGGGACAGCTGCTGGTCCTCGCATTCACCAGTCTCATGCAGATTGGGCGGGCCGCTTCCAGGGACTGTCTCTAGGTTCTTGAGGCTGACCATATGCCCTGCTGTTCGCATAGTGGTGTGTCTCATGAGCTTGAGAAGAAGAGTGTTCGATTATGGAAACAGTCTATTCTAACGATGTCTTTACATTCTTTCAGTCTTCTCCGAAGCGTTACATGTTTGCGAACAAAGCCTCACCTGCTGCACACGTTCGTTCCTATATTGGGCTTAGTGGACAGAGCGAAGTAGCGCAAGACAGCTATTCGTTATGCCATTCCTTCCAGTATTTTCACACACACCCCTCTTCCCACGTCACACATGCTTCCTTCAGCTAAGACTTCGACTAAATCCTCATGCTTGCCTTGTATCACATCATCCCCTAATTCCCCGCCACTCTTTATCTACCCTATTCCCCTTTGCCTGTAATGTGTCTTTTTTTTTTTTTCTTTCTTTTTCCTATTTTTTCATTTCTTTTCGCCTGTTAAAGAATTAGAAAATGCATGTCACGGATCAACGGAGATAATGATCTGTCGCTAGTGCTGATACCTAATAGACTTTCAGCTTCATGACCTAAATGCTTGATTGCTTGAATTTGATTTCCAAGATGTTCTCAGGAGTTGGCGCGATTTTCCTGTTTGTACTCGCAAATGTTCTTTTCCTTTCTTTTAGCTGCTGTACTATCCTGCTATCTGTGTTTTGGTTGAATCTCGTCGTAGTAGTAGTGGATGAGGCGATACTTATCGGAAATGGTTCTAAGTTCTGTCGACTTCATTGAGAGCGTGGAGAATAGGTGTCTACAATACGAGGGGATAGTGAATACATGGTTTGACAGATTGTATCTTTGAAGTTATCAATATCTACTATGAGGATTGTATCCCTCCACTAAATGAGACTGGCAAGGAGAATAGTGAGCCCTGCTTTACTGTAGCAGAAAGCTAAGTGGTTTCGTCACAAGAGCAACTTTGGTTGCCTTAATTTTACGGCTTTAGGGTTACACAGTCCATACTACTAGAACGATATCAAGGCCAAAAAAATTTTTTTGGCTTTTTTTTTTCTTTCTTTTACTCTAACCATTTTCGGCTCTTGGCGGATCTTTGACACCTCAGGCATTTACAAGGGCTTGCATGGACGCTGGTTGGTGGATGCGGAAGATCTCGCCTAATTTCCTAGCGTCCCACACACAACCTCGTTGAAGAGATCTCGTTCTTTCACCACCTCAGCAGTGACTTCGACGACAACAGACGACCTGCCACCGCCGACAAGGTATGTTTATAATACCCAGCTCTTCCTGAGTTCTCAAGACGATTTCGCCAACGGCTTTGGAATTATCGGGAGCCATCAATTCTCTAACGCTGACGTTTCCGTGTCCTTCAAGATGGGTGCCCTCAAGTACGTGGAAGAAATCCAGAAGAAGAAGCAGTCCGATGTGGTCCGCTTCCTTCTCCGTGTCCGTTGCTGGGAGGTGAGAATCCCCCCCTCAATATCGATCATTTAACATCCCGCCGGATACTCGTGTGCTATGCCATAGGATACCTTTTTTTCAGAGGGTGTTACTGGGCGGCTCGATACGATCTTTTTTCGCCGGCGGATGGATGTGGCACATTCTTTCGTGTGTCTTGCTATACACTCGTTGAACTTTGCTGAGAGTGCATCAATATAGCTCCGTCAGCTGAACGCTATCCACCGTGCTTCCCGTCCTTCTCGCCCCGACAAGGCTCGTCGTCTCGGATACAAGGCCAAGCAGGGCTATGTTGTCTACCGTATCCGTGTGAGACGCGGTGGCCGCAAGAGGCCCGCACCCAAGGGTGCCACCTACGGTATGCAGAAGATTCCCTATCAGAATTGCGAAGGACGTCAGGAAGGGAAAGGGCTAAACAGTTTTCGATTGTAGGCAAGCCCACCAACCAGGGTATCAACCAGCTCAAGTACCAGCGTGCCCTCCGTGCTACCGCTGAGGAGCGTGTTGGCCGCCGTTGCGCCAACTTGCGTGTCCTGAACTCCTACTGGATCAACCAGGACTCTACCTATAAGTACTTCGAGGTTATCCTTGTCGATCCCCAGCACAAGGCCATCCGCCGTGATGCCCGCATCAACTGGATCTGCAATGCTGTCCACAAGGTTCGTTTCTCCTGCCCAGTGCTCTCTAGGAGACTAGTACTAATATAAATTTCTGCGAACAGCACCGCGAGGCTCGTGGTCTTACCGCCACTGGCAAGAAGTCCCGTGGTATCAACAAGGGCCACCGCTACAACAACACCAAGGCTGGCCGCCGCCACACCTGGAAGCTCCACAACACCCAGAGCTACTGGAGATACCGTTAAGCGTAGTTTGGTGGATAGCTGGGGTTGTGTGTCGTGGAAAAAATCTCATTCTGAGGATGTGTTTATCTCGATCAAAACTCGCTTCTATGACTATATCCTTGCAATGGGTGCGAGCATAATGCAACAGATCTTTCGGATCGGATGTTAGCAAAAATTTTTTCACTGGTTCAATTTTTATATTCCCCTAACGAAGTATGACTATTTCTGTTCAACCGCATGGAGCATCTCGTAGGTCACGTAATGGGCAAGAGGGCCTGAAACCAATTCAGCATACTGGCATATCACTTTGCAATGGCATGAATAGGAAGAAGCTGTGAGGTAAGTTTGCTCCAAGGAGAATGAATCTCCGCAATTACCTCTGGCGGATGGAGAAGCAGAAGTAGATGGGCGGCTAGCGAATATGGTGTTTCAATTGCGAGACAGGTTTAATTGCACAGTGACACCCGTCCAATTAATTAAGCATAGCTTGATATCTGTAGCGGGGATTGACAGTTAGTGAGGTGCGCAGGTTTTCCCGTTATGGAGACCTTTCAAGACGCCGAAAATAGTAGCATCAGCGTCACATTGGCGCCCAACTACTTGCCCCGGCGTTCATGGACCGGCCACTCATAGGGCAAAGTCAGCCTAGGAAGGTGGGTTGCCTAAGGCAGCCTGTCCCCTCCGGATTGCAACTTACAACTACGGAGTAAGTCACGGTTTCACCTCCCTATGCGACCTCCCTAATCCGTCGTGCTTTCTCTACTACTACTTCAAATATTGCCTCACTAGTCCAACCGGTGCTTCCTTTTCTTTTCTTTTCTTTTCTTTTTACCTGCAGGTTTTGTCTTTGCTTGTACAACATACTACTTTCTCCCCTCCCTCCCCCTTCTCCCCCATTCTTGTTTACTTACTCAAGCAACGAACTACAATACTAGAATCTCCACTTCGGTTGGTGGACTACACTCTTAACCTTTTTCCTTCCATGCCAAAGTTAGGTAGTGCACCATCGTTTATTTCTCGGCAGTATCCGGTCCCGGTTATTACTACTAGTTCTACTTGACCTGGAACTGCGAAACGTGACCCCCCTGCTGCATCTTTTCGAACCACATCTCTGGGCGACAACCAAGATCTTGTTCCCTCTCATATCGTCCACCCACCCGGTAACTTTCGTTCCATTACCGGGATCAAATAAACTCAACAGCAAAAGTATTAATTTAACAAATGCGCCCATATGCCGCCGCGGACTACACGTAATCCATCCCACCCTTCAACTTTACATCCAAATGTCGTCGATTTAAATGCGCCCCTCCCTCCTTTGCCGACGGAGAGGGGCGCCCCATCGTCATTGCCCCATGAAGCTCAATTTCCGCCCTCCATGGTCGCAAATCTGGCAACCTCGCCGCCACACCATTTTCAGCGTCGAGGACATTCTCGCTCGATCAGCCATCCATTCCCATCGCCATTTTCCAGCAGAAGACGAAACAAGTCGATATCCAAGCGCGACTTTCTAGATTCCGACGACGATGACGACGAGGTCACGTATTTACCCGATCCCCTTTCCAGTAGCCCTCGGAAAGGCGCCCCGCGTTTGTCGCCCGGGGAGGAGTTGACGACGGGGAAGTGCATGACATGCAACTGCTCTGTCCGATGGCCCCGGAACCTCAATGTCTTTCGATGTACAGAATGCCTCACCGTCAATGATTTGGAACCGCAAAGAGGGTCCACCGAGTCGAGCGGGCATGCTCATCCAGGGAAGGACGACAAGCCATTGCCGACAATACCCAGGAAAGGTGCGCTGTAGCGTCTAACATTCTTCAATGCTTGTTGTCTAACTTCAGTCTGTATGATTTAGCTATTCCATTGTCCGTTGAACGAACGAAGGCTATCATCGATGAATGCATTTCGAGCTATCTCCGACAACTCTTGGATGGGCGGGGCCCACGAGCATGCCCCGGGGGAAGCCAGGCGGATAGGCATACCAACGGACAAGACGAAAATTCATCAAGATCCCCAGGTAAACCATCTGGGTATCTCACCGAACCCCGGCCGGTGGATCCTCGGGGTCGTAGTGCGTCAGCGTCCAGTAGGTCTGGACAGCCGGATGTGATGAATGGTACGGCAAATTACTTGAAACCTAATGCTGCTCCGTTTTCGTTACAAACCGAAGGAAGAGATTCTCATATGAGAAATCGGGATGTACAAAACACGCCAAAAAGAGACCGTTCTCCACGTGAAGCTGGGCGACCATGCGATTATGCAGCCAGAGATAAGCCAAGTCGCCCTTACATATTTAGGGCGGTAGAAGAGTATATCATAACTTCATTCAAAGGCTGCGATTGCCTCAACAGCTCCTTCACTACGACACAACATACACCACCGTCTACAAGTGAGTGCAGCCCGCCTAAACAAAAACCGGATAATAGTGTTACGCATGCACATCCGGTATTTGAACCAGATGCAAAGACTCTTCTCTTAGGAGATTTAGCCGAAAATTCCTCCTGGTGGATGAACGAAACCGAACAAATTAGATCTCATCACCTGAAAGAAAAACCAGCTAGTTCTGCAAGAGCTGTCAGCTCCAGGAGTCCCCGTATCAATTGGGCTGAACTGGCACACTGGTACCAGTTGATCATGACGGCAGGAACGTCATGGGTCGAACAGTGGTCAGGGCTGAAGCCTCTTGACGTCCGTGACGGAGATGATTGTACGAGAAATAAGAGGTGGGATGCTGTGGATATGAGCCTCATTGAAAGAGACTTCATGGAGTCGCGCTTGCACCTGCACAGGACACTTATGAAAGCTACCGAGAATCTCTTGAAGCGGCCCCGGCGGCCTTTGAAGAGACCGGAGGATGTTAGGTTCCTCTTGATGCTCCTGGTGAATCCATTGATATACTCGTCGAGTCAGCATGTCGCGCTCCACCCTGGAGCCGCTTCTGCAGCCCGTAGTGACAGAAGACCATCTAATACGAAAGATACCGGTCATAGACCAGTGCCTCCTGATATCAAATCTCCCTCCAGACATCGGAGCGGAGGACCTGGTTACCACTCCGGCATCGTCAAGCGGATACTGGGTTTGTTAGCGAACCTACCTAATGACTGCCATCACTATCTTGTTTCTTGGTTTTCGCGGTTTTCAGCCGGGCAATTTGAAAAGCTTGTCGATCTCGTCGGCAGCTTCGTGACGTATCGCTTGACTCGTCAACATGGGCGGAAACGCAGCGAGTCTGCACAGCATGATGACGATTTAGTCCCAAGCTTTTCCAGCGCCGCCGGCAATACGCCAGCGGAATTGCACGCGGCCATTAATGGGAGAAGCACCAATAAACAGGCCACCGAGAAACGTGATCAGCCGGTGGTCTATAGTGACGACTGGCAGCTTCGGGCAGCAGCCAGAGTAATGTCACTTCTTTTCACTGCCAATAACGCGAACATTGCTCGCAAGCCGGATGGAATACTCGGTCAGGAAGCAGGTCCTGCGGCCAAACCTCAAGGATACCGACGAGGGCAAATTGTTCCAGTCAGCGCATTCTATAATACGTTGCTAGACTACTCGGACCTTGTGGCTGATTTTGAAGCCTGGGAGTCAAAGAGCACGAAGTTCTCTTTCTGTCAATACCCATTCTTCCTTAGCATCTGGGCTAAGATTCATATACTTGAGCACGATGCACGTCGGCAAATGGAAGTCAAGGCCCGCGAAGCCTTCTTCAATAGCATATTGAGTCGGAAAGCGATCAGCCAGTATCTTTTGTTAAGAGTGCGACGCGATTGTTTAGTCGATGACAGCCTCCGAAGTGTTAGTGAAGTTGTAGGTTCGAGTCAAGAAGAGATCAAGAAGGGCCTCCGTATAGAATTTGTCGGTGAAGAGGGTGTGGACGCAGGCGGTCTCCGCAAGGAATGGTTCTTGCTGTTAGTCCGGGAGATCTTTGACCCTCATCACGGTAAGACAATCGTTGACCATGATTCGTATTTGTATTAACATGTATGCAGGACTTTTCATCTACGACGAAGACTCGCAGTTTTGTTATTTCAATCCGTACTGCTTTGAATCATCGGAACAGTTCTTTTTGGTCGGAGTTCTACTGGGACTAGCCATCTACAACTCCACAATTCTTGATATAAACCTTCCCCCTTTCGCGTTCAAGAAACTTTTGGCTGCGGCGCCGCAAACGACTGGACCACAGCCTGCAACAACACGGTCGACTTACAAGTGTAACCTCGATGACCTGGCTGAGTATCGACCTGCACTTGCAAAGGGCCTCCGAGCCCTTCTGGATTTCGAAGGAGATGTTGCGGAGACCTTCTGTTATGACTTCGTCTCTCAAATGGATCGCTATGGTGAAGTAGTTGCGGTGCCGCTCTGTGCTGGGGGCGACAAGCGGCCTGTTACAAATGCGAACCGACGGGAGTTTGTAGACTTGTATGTTCATTACCTGTTGGATACGGCCGTTACCAGACAGTTCGAGCCCTTCAAGCGTGGCTTCTTCACTGTTTGTGGCGGTAATGCGTTATCCCTCTTTCGCCCTGAGGAGATTGAACTTCTAGTACGCGGCTCAGACGAACCGTTGGACGTGGTGTCCTTACGGGCAGTTGCTACGTATGACAACTGGTCGGACACCCGGCCAGAGATGGTGCCGGTTGTGCAGTGGTTCTGGGATTTCTTCGAGCACACACAGCCGCAGGCACAGCGAAAGATACTATCGTTTATTACAGGCAGTGATCGTATTCCAGCCATGGGGGCGACGAGTCTCGTAATCCGGGTGGCCTGTCTCGGAGACGACTCGTCGCGATTCCCAACTGCACGTACATGTTTTAATATGTTAGGGTTGTACCGGTATACTACACGGGAACAATTAGAGCAGAGGCTCTGGGGAGCAGTGCTCAACAGTGAGGGATTTGGACTGAAATAGACATGTCACTGGGCTGGTATCCCTGAGACGACTGGTTCTGACGTTCGTGATGACCATATTCCTATGCTAGAGGCGTTTATCCTCATTGGTTAAAATATAACTAATAGTTTTGCCTGTCCATTTGACTTGCTTTTTCCTTGCGAGTATCTCCATTGTACGGTATGGGTAGCATCAACTAGGAGGGATTTGAAACATAGACCGGGCCAGAACTGGGAAGTGATGCGTAATTCGATCAGGAGTAATGCACCGGCTGCAGTCGCCGTGCCCTCCGCTTTGCTGGGTTCTACTCGAACTGGATATATATTTCGTGTAAAATTAGGGTTTTCTCAAACTATGGGCGCCGGGGTCATACGACCTAAGCCACAAGCCACAAGCATCAACTCGAGCTACTCTGCATGTCCTGTTGGCAGTACTATTGCAACTGCTTTTAGGGATCTCGCTGTGGTCTTGTTGCCATTGACTGAAAACTCGCCTTGGCAGTACTTAATTTTTTTTTTTTTTCACTGTCTTCCCTTTCTGCCGTCCTAGAAGGGAAACCTACTCGAAATGCCATTATGCATACTAAGGCTTTAAATACTGTATCACCTGATGCGCTAATTCTGTCTTTTTCTTTTCTTTTCTTTTCTTTTTTTTTTTTTCGGGGACAACGAGAAAAAGCCTCTTGTTGACGAGAAGTGGCAGTAAGGACCAACCTAAGAGCTAAGGTTGTGGTGGGAAAAAATAAAAAAGTGGAGCAGCCGTGAAGTGTGTTTGCGGTTTGGATTTCCGGAGGAACATACGTACATACTGTGTACAAGCCCGCGCGTGTCCCCTGTTCCAGAACCATGGACGGTTCGGCGGATGATATCAGTAATTGTGGTGGTGGTGGTGGTGGTGGTGGTCAGGGTCCGGTGCCTCGAGAAAAGCTTCTGACATGGAAATCCAGCCTCAGCCCCATCAGGAACCAAATTGTTTCGATAGGGTGGTTCCTGGAGGTTCTCTCTCTTCTCCTTTCGCTGGCTTTCTCTCCTCGTGTGCCTTGTTTGGGGGTTTAATGAGGTTATATTTGCGGGACGCGAAGTGGGGGAGTGAAGTCATGGGACGACGATGCGAGTCTAGTGCACCCGTCCATACTCCATCGTACTAGTAGTAAGTAGGTAAATTGTTTTAGTCGTTTTTTGCTTGCGACGGACCGAGTGGGGCCGAGTTCTGGCTGATTCTATGAAGTCATTTCTGGTCTTGTCGTAGCTTTGACCCTCTTCCAATTTGTCTGTAGTTTTGTACTTGTTGTTCTCTAATAATCACCACCACACTAGACGGTAAGCGATAGTAGGTATTGTATCGAATGAAGAGAGTATCGTCCCTGGTCAGGTGCAGTATTAATGGGATAGGTTGGCCAAACAAGTGGTTAGAAATAAGGCATCGATACGACTAGGACCGAATTAGGCGCATCTTCCAGCGCTTTCTGACGTTTGAGAAACAGTCAACTGATGGGACCCACTCGTTGAGACCCCACCGGGATTGGCCGAATGGACCGGAGGACAGTGAACCTGGTAGGTAGTAGTAAGAAGTATAGTACGTACTGTGTACTGGATAGTAACAGGTGTTTGGACTCGTACCTCCTCCTCTTCCTCCTCCTCCTCCTCGGTGAAACTGACTACATTCCCCTCAGTTCCCCTCCATCCTCACGGCTCCAGCGATACATTCAAATATCTCCTCTTTCCCTCTCTTTCCCTCCTTTCCTCTCACTTTTCTTTCTTCATTATCATCCTCAGTCAATCGATCTTCATATCCTTAACCTGAGCACTTCCCTTCCGTACTTGTCTTTTCTCCCTCTTCGATATCCTTGTAAGAACCCCCTTCCTTGGCAATCAATCGACCATACAACAGGCAATCGCTGACTCTCTTTAGAACGACAATCATCCACCATGTCTCTTCCTCAGACCATGAAGGCTCTCAGGTAACGACTGACCCCTAGTGCCCTTGCCCGATCAATTGGTCAATGCTAATCATCCATATCAGATATGAGCAGCCTGAGAAGCATGCTGTTGTTGACGTTCCCCTTCCTCAGCTCCGTGACAATGATGTCCTGGTATGTGCTAGTTGTTTTTGGTAGTCATATGGCTGGTCGTGCAGAGTGGTTTGTTGACGGATTGCTATAGGTCAAGGTCAAGGCTTGCGGTGTTTGTGGTACTGACCTGCACATCCACGAGGGTCAATTCATTGCCAAGGTATGATTTCTAGCTGTCCACCCAACATCTAATCAATTGAGCCTTTGCTGATCCTGTGCTAGTTCCCCTTGGTTCCTGGTATGTCAAGGACTTCACGTCGCCATGTCACGTCGAGGTATACAAATATACTAATATGGGTGGTCAGGTCACGAAACTGTTGGTGTCGTTGCGGCTGTTGGCCCTAAGGTCAAAGGCTTCGAAGTCGGCGAGCGGGTCGTCGCCGACAACTCAGAACTCTGCGGTGAATGCTTCTACTGCCGCCGTGGAGACGAGTTGTTCTGTGAGCACTTCGAGGCTCACGGTGTCACCATGAACGGTGGCTTTGCCGAGTACTGCGCCTATCCTGGTAGGTAGTGGCAGAACCTCGGAACCACTGCCATGTCATCACTGACTCTCTATAGCTGGCAGGGTCTTCAAGATCAAGAACCTCTCTGACGTCGATGCCACCCTTCTAGAGCCCGCCTCGTGCGCTGCTCACGGTTTGGACAAGATCGCTCCTAAGATGGGCTCTTCCGTCCTATTGTTCGGTGCTGGTCCCACCGGCCTTGTAAGTTGATTTATATCCGAGAGACTGTTCCGCATCTAACATGCAACAGATCCTCGCTCAGTTGCTGCGCCAGTGCGGTGGATGCCGTGTTGTTGTAGCCGCTCCCGAAGGTCTGAAGATGGACCTGGCCAAGTCCCTCGAAGCTGGTGATGAATATGTCGCTCTGTCCCGTCAGGATCCTAGTGCACAGTTCGAGAAGCTGAAGAAGGAGAACCCCTACGGTTTCGACATTGTCGTGGAAGCCACCGGCAGTGTCAAGATCCTCGAAGACTCCATCAACTATGTCCGCCGCGGCGGTAAGCTTGTCGTGTACGGCGTGTACAACAACGAGGCCCGCGTCTCCTGGCCTCCCAGCAAGATCTGTAAGTAATTCTTCCACTCATGCAGTGAGCAACGACTAACACTTGGTGCAGTCGGCGATGAGATCACTATCCTCGGAAGTTTCTCCGAGACCTACAAGTTCCCCGCTGCTATTGACTACCTTGACTCCGGCAAGGTGAAGGTCAAGGGCATCGTGAACAAGGTGTTCAAGCTTGAAGAGTGGGAGCAGTGCCTGGAGTCGATGAGGAACAAGTCTGCTATCAAGGCGGCTATCACTTTTGACTAGATTCTTGTATATATAGATACCACCGATTTATGAGTAATGAATATTTATATGTGATGTACGGGGCTTTCCATCTTAAATAGTAGTGGGTTGAGGACCCTGAGGGCAACCCCCAAGGTACTGACTTTATCATGACGTTATTTACCCATCACCCGGGCCTGATCGTCACGGTTTAGTATAATCGATAACCAAGTGACATCTGAGTTCCATCTTAGAGCCTGATATCACATTAATTGCTAGTACACGATCACCACATTCATATATGATCTATCCACCTCAACCCTATATGGTACATGAAAGAACGCAAAGCTCCATATATTGTAACAAACAGAAAAAGTACAGACAAGCCAGCTTGCACAGGCTAACCATACCCAAGAAACATCCCAAGTAAAAGCTCAACTGTTGACATGGTACCATGCATAACCCCAAAGAAACAACAGCATGAAAAGGAAAAAACGAAACCAACTCAAGCAAACTTATCATGCTTCCCCCTAACCCTAACATCCAGCACCTCCTCATGAAAGTTCCCTTCCTTCCTTGCCTTCTTCAACCTCCTCACCTCATCATCATCCAGTCTCCTCCCGACAATCTCCTCCAACTCCTTCCGACTAATCTTCTCCTTCGCCTTCGTTTCCTTGCTGGCCTTAATCCGCGGCTTGAACCGCGCCTGCATGCGAATCCTCATCGTCGTCTCAAACGAGAGACTCGTCGCATCACCCCGAACCTCGACCACACTCCCACTCGCCGCCTTACTCGACTTCCCCTCCATAACAGAAACAAACGTCTCCTTATCACCACCACCAGTCTGCAGACAGAACGACCCAGGCACCTCGGACGGAATAACAACAAACGATTCCTGATGCGAAATAGCCGATGACGCGGCACTCAGAATTCCATAATTGTCGCAGCCCAAATACCTAATCTCAGACATTAGCCAACCTTTCCTTCATTCCCCCCTCAAAACGGGATAAGACAACAACAACAATAACAATAACAATAACAACCCCCAAAAGGAAAAGAACAAAAGAAAGGAAAACATACTTCCCATGCTGCCCCTTAAAACTAATACCCTCCGTGCCCGCAACCTTAGTCGCAACCCAAACCTGCCTAACATCATGCGGCTCTGCCGTACCCGGATCCCCCTCAATCAGATTCTCGATCTCGCTCGCGAAGACCTTCCCATTGGCATCGCTGGCTATGCAGGTCGGAGGGTCTGAGGGGAGAACGATGATGACGGGCCCCGCAATGTCCGAGGGTGCGTCCGCTGATACCCAGCTTTGGTCTTCGGCTGTGGATTCTTGCTCGGCGGTTTCTTCTTGCGTGGGTTTCGTGGTGGTGGTTGGTTTGCTCGGTGGGTAGGGCGCGCTGCGCTTTTTGGCCTTTTTGGGCTTGTCGCCCTTGAAGGTTAGTGGTTTTACCATTTCTTTTCTTTTGTTCCTTTTCTTTCTGGTTTTATTGTTTCGGAGGAAGGAGGAGGGAGGAAGGAGGAAGAGGAATTGAGGGGAGGTGATTTGGAGGTGGTCGTGTTTTGAGGTGTTGGAGGAGGTGAAGGAGTGCGTTTTGGTGGAGAAGATTTATTTTATCTTATCGATAAGCGCGTGGAGTGACGTAGACGGAGTACCTATACCCTAATGCATATTTTGAATACTATATTGAGCTGTCTAGTCAACTAGATAGTACATGGCGACTCTATTCTTATTTTTCGGGAGTTCTGAGTGTATACTATTCAAGTTGCATTCTATCCAAGGCGCATCGTTAACCTCGCTTGACTATGGTTAACTATTCTCTATGCCCCCGTACAAGATAACGATAACCAATATTATTTCATCGCTTGTAGCATAATAGAGAATAGCCCGAATCCTTTTCCTGAGCTGAATGTTATCTTTTGTTTTTATTCAAAGAAGCATGTTTAAGAGAAGATAGAATCCTCAAGACCCAAAATTAAAAGCTGAAGATCTATGTATTATATGATATGACCTATACCAAAAAACAAACAGCCAACCATGCAGGGTATCATAACGTATATCCATCAAATACAGCCACATAAACCAACCACTGAACAAAATCCAACTCAAGCCGAATTCGCCCTCCGCATCATGAAATCGCGATGAACTACTCTATTGGTGATAGGCGCCGGGTAATACCCTGGCGGCAAAACACTTTTCTTGCACATCGGACATAGACAGCTATTCCGCGTCAGCGACGCATCGATGCACTCGACATGGAAGATATGACCGCAGGTGAGTTCGCGGACAGTAGACTCATGCGGGACGAAGTCCTCGAGGCAGATGGCACATGTGGTTTGCGAGTGGCTCAATCTCTTAAGCTTGGGAGGGCGGCCTTTGGCACAGGCGTTGGTTGACAACGAACGGGACGGCGCGCTGGGGGAGTTGTCGGCATTGCCCGACAAGTGTTCCCCTCCCGACTCTTCATTTTCTTGGCTTTCTTTCTTGTCATCCCGTACCTCAGTCGCTGTGATGGTGTCGGGGCTCGTGTCTGTTTCCTCCTGTTTCTCTGTGCATTCTTGGAGTTCCTTGGACCGTAAAGAACTCTTGTCGTTGGGCTCAGTGGTGTCACCCAATGCGCTCCAATCCGGATATGTGTATATTGGCAGTGTATCTAAGATCTCCTGTGGGACTTTCATGAGGTGCAAACCCAACATCTCCATGTCTGCCTCTCCAGACTCAATCCTCTGTTGCAGCCTCTCCCGGCGCCTCTTCTGTACCAGTTGGTAGCAAAGTAAAACAATCATGCTGAGAACCAAAATTGTCCCTAGGATGGCAAGAATGAACCCCCAGAGACTGGGCATTTTACCTTGAGTCTTTTCTATGGACCACCTGTTAGCATTCGTCACGGATGAATAACCGGATTCTTAATCTTACCAAAATCAATAAGGCTAAGCAGCCGTATGTCAGACTGACCTGTCACAGATGCGGAAGCATTGTGACCATTGTGCGCATGGTTTGTGTTCCCCGGATACCACGCCAGCTGATTCATGAGGGTCACACCCGCCGGACCAGGGATCGCATACACGGGGAGGATATTTGGGTCCTTCCAATCATCACCGTCTCTCAATGACCACGTCGGATCTTCATTTGGTGGCGGTTTGGTATTGTTGCTCCCAGGCAAGAAGAATACCAGCGCATCGGAACCTACACGCTGCGAGGCGTTGATGAAGGACTCAGCACACTCAGCGTTCACCCACGGCGCAAGGCCAATGGTCTGGAACCTGAATCTATCCACGTCAGGATGCCGGGTGACATGGGTGGGTATGAATGGAGCGGTGAGATTGTTGCATGAATCCTCAACATCGAGACTAGGAACGAACAAGAGACCTCGTATTGGGGCATTCCCAGGAGTATCCTGGGAGGACAGTGTCTGAACCGTACCATCCACTACGAAGCGGAAGCTCGCGCTGTCCTGTCGTTCAATGTGAGAATTTCCTTTCACACAACATGTGGAGATTCTTGAGACGTACGTTGGCCGATGGAGTAGTGTTCGTCGCTCTCCCTGGACCTGGAAAGAGTGTGGCAGCCGTGGTGAGAGATTTCGCAGCAGCAGGCGGAGACATTGTTGGTGTTTTGTTTCTCGCATATACTGCGGAAGGTGGATTCAGTTCCAATCAACGGTGTCGAAGGCAATGGCACAGCGTTTTCGAAAGTAACAATCATATGGACCATACACATGGCGAAGCAACAAGAACTGCCTTACAACAGAAAAAAACTGCGGCTTAGAGATGAAACAAACAAAACATCTTGATTAAGTTGCGCGGTCGAGGAGAGATCTAAAGTATTGCGGCCAAATCAGGAATGTAAGGATTGAATTCGATGGTTTCAAGCGGAATGTCTGACAGGTCGCATGGTTGGCCGTGATGGTCGCTTCCACTGCTGACACACCCTATAAAGTGGTTGCGGTGAAGAGAAAAATTTTTCTCCCTGTCCTTGTATAGAGGTTGTATTCCTCCCTTGGATCCTGTTGAACCCGTCTTTTCTCCATGCCAGGGCCTTCGGGTTGCCGTTCGCAGTTGGACTGCATGACGTTTTCGGATATCTCCGCCGTCAGTGTGACGAGCCATACACATACCCACAACAAAAAAGGTACAAGAGAGACAAGAAAAAATGGAAGTAACGCACTTCGCCACCTGGAATGTTGACCAGTGAAGAAACCTATCTCGTAAAATAGATAAGAATGCGACCATCCATCCAAGTAGTATGTATGTGCATCCCTAGCGAGCGGCATAGGGCGAGCAGAGCCACCTGCATTGCATTATTGGTGGCTTTGATTTGCAGGAGGGACTATGAAGCGTCTAGGCATGATACCCATAGGTGTAACACGGGCCAACTCTTGGTAATACTGGCAGCATTGGCAGATAAACAGTAGTATTTCAGTTTAGTATGTTGAAATGAAGAGTCTCCACTTGCCAATCGCTTACTATTTTTGGCTATCACTGATCAAGATCATCGATTATCTAATCACATGTATTCATGTGACCTCACGTGCCCAATCTGGGGAAACATCGCGATATCCCCGATGATGATGGGGGACAGAAGAGAACACGGCCAGAGCCTATTGCAGGGCTTATCTTCATGGACTGCGACCATTTAACGAAGCGCACTCCATAAACCCTATAAAACGAACGAACTAAACGTCAAACCCCTCCCGGAAATTGAATACTATGGGATATTAAAGCCATCCAAAACAAACATACAGCTACACAGCCCACTTCTCAAGTTTAAACACCTTTTCGGGTCATCATCACATCATGCCCTCCGCAAGCAAAGGAAAAGGCAAAGGCCGTGAAGCGCGCCCCTCTCGAAGCCGAAACACCACACCCAACTCGAGTTTCAGTGCCCCGACCGCCCCTGTATCCAGCTACCTCGACAATGATGTATCGAAACTGCTCGTGCCAGTCACCGCGCAATATGGAGAGATCCTGGATCGGATGGGCGGCGTTGGACCTATTCCCGACTCGAAGTCCCTAGAGACATTGATGGAGCATCTGAAGACACTCAGTCAGCTGGCAGAAGCTCGTAGTGATGCATGCGATGCTGGCATCAGAGAGCTGTCTCAAAAGCGAAAGGAGGTGGTAGAGGAGCCCGAGCACGATGGTGACCGTCCGAAAATGAAGCGCGAAGCTGATGACGAAGAGGAGGAATCGAAAGCGCCCAAAGGAGGGAAATTAAAGAAGCGCAAAGAACGGGGCAGCAGTTCAAAGGAAGATCGCCCGTTAGCTCATGGCGCCCATGAACTTTCTCGACAAGATGGTGCGGAAACCAAAGTGGAGGGTGGTAAGTCGACACTCCTCACATTCACCTTAACCGCAGTCTAGCCCCGTCGCTCATAGGCCGATTCCCTTCGGATTTATGGCACTGCTATGTTGCATCCGCAGGCTAATATTTAATTGCTTTAGCTGCATCGCCTATATCTAAAAAGTCGAAGAGTACTTCGTCACTGTCGCCGCCGGAACCCAATTCCCCCAAAGTGAAGGCTGACACAGAAGCTCAAGCCCCTGGATCACCCATGTCGGACGATAGCTCAGATTCGCATCAGCCTGAGCCAGCTCCAGCTGTGCCACAAATCCAAGTCTTCGGTCCAAATCCCGTGAAATTCGACGATCCGACTATATACCATATACGCGATGTCACTCCCGACATGACCGATGACGAAAGGAAAGAAATCTACAGCGTCACTCGTTTCCCGGCCAGTGATTTAAGTCATATGATGGCTGGTATAGCTCCAGATAAAGACTATAGCAACGCCAAGCCTACAAACCAGGTCAGCGCGAATACATTCCTCGCCTATGTTGAACCATATGTCCGCCCGTTGATGGAGGAAGATATTGCTTTCCTCAAAGAGAAGGTTTGTTCCCTTAGTTGTTGCCAAATACGCCTCGTTGCTAACTCGCACAGGGCGATCGAGCGACACCGTTCATCATGCCTCGACGTGGGAAGAGACACTACAATGAGATCTGGGCCGAGGAGGATGGGCTGATGAATGTTGACCAGAACGGCAACAAGGAACGTCTGCCCTTGAACCAGGGACGTGGAAACATCGATCAGGTGACAGACGAAACTATGGAAACGGACAAGGTCTCAGTTGGCCCATTAGTTAGCCGGCTTTATTCTCTACTACGATACGAACACCGTGCTCCCGACGAAAACCCTGGCGCCAACGGCACAGTCAACGGGGAATTACCGAACGGTTCTTCACTCGGTGACGCAATGGACCTCGACAACCCCATTGGGGGTGACTCAGAAAGCAAACCACAACCTTCCGCGACATCGTTCCCTGATGCATCCCCAAGCGGCTTCAAAGTGCCTGCGGCGAAGCTGGACCACGCCCAACTCGATGAGCGCCTCAAAGCAGAACTCCGTCACGTCGGCTTCCTGGGCGCCGAGGACAATCCTGACTACGACGCCCATTATGACGACGACATCGCTCAGCGACTACGTCTCCTGCAAAGCGAACTGAAGAAGCAGATGATCGTCAACAGTGCCCGAAAAGCAAGACTCTTAGAAATTGCCCGTGAACGCATGGCGTACCAGGAGTACATGACCATCCACGATGATCTCGACTCACAGGTACAACAGGCCTATCTCAAGCGTACCCGGACATTAGGGAAGAGCAAGAAGGGCTCCCAGGCTAAGCACAGGCCAGGCGGAGCTGGCGGCGGCAGCCACGTTGTTAGTGCCGCTGGTGTGGGCCGTCCCGCTATCGGCGACGTCGCTCGTACTCTCATGGACCGACGCAAGCGCTGGCGTGACTGTATCGGACCGATTTTCAAAGATTGCAAGACTTCTGTGCCGAGGAATAATGAGTCTGTCTTTGACCCATCGCTCATGGCTGAGTACGAGAAGGCAGAAGTTGAGGGTTGGGATGAGGAGCAGGAGTGATATTGTCTCTTCCCTTACCCCTCATGCAACTAACCCTATAATGGGTTTATTTTTATTTTTATTTTGAACTTTCCATGTACATTTCAGATGCCCTTTCTAATCTCGGGTACGTTTGCTTTGCATGGTGATCCAAACCGGGGATTGGGTATCATTAAAGTCGTAGGTTTGATTTGAGCGTCGATTATGGGGGCTTTATGTGTTTGGCGTTGGGGGTTTACACTAGATGGAGGGTACATGTTCATCTCAGAATTGCTCAATAGTAACGAAGATTTAAATTTCAAAGATGTTCTCCAATCCAAGGCATTCATTTATTGGGTATCATTAAATCTTAGTAAAGAAACAGATAGGTTTAACCGGAGAAAGATCATCGGTGTATGATTAACACCTCCCCGGGATACCGCTTCAATCTAGCGGTAAACTCCTTTTCGCTAATTTCCAGTTCAGTGCATATTTGATCAAAGCAATGCATTCCATCGAGGTATTTGGACAGAGTCTTATCGTCGATGTAGTCTTCGTCGTCCTCATCTTCGATCACTGTTCCTGGACGACTTCCGCTGTGCACGGAGGTCGAAGGTCCATCATGCTGGTGCGCGGCGATGGGCGCCGAATCATCCCCCACACTTGACGCATAGGGACTATTGGTCCCTGTCCCAGGGCCTCTAGATGATGGACCGGAGTGAGTGTGATAATGGTGGTGATGGTGATATTTCGAGGGTGGAGCGGGACATCCTGTCGCGTAGGCGTATTTGTGCACACGGTATAAGAACCCTTTGATGATGCCAAACGTGATGAAGCGACGAATGTCGATGTGGGCTAGTTGTCTGCTATGATGCATGTACCATTGCTTGACGCTTTGGCCTTGTTTGAGACTGGCGTAAAGCTCGACTAATCCGACTCCGTCAACTACCTCTCTTTCCGGTTGGTCCTCTATTGTCGCGGCCGTACTACCTGGCGCTATGATGGTAGGATCTGGACTAGGGCTCCCGGGACTAACACTTCCATTGCTGCTGGCTATATCGACGCTGGCAGTAGTGCCTGTGACGATTTCACCGAGGGGCGGCCATACAGCGTCTGGGTCGTAGCTTCGGGTAGGATTCGTGAAGGTTGATGCGGCAGCAGGGGATGCAAAGAGTGTGTTGACATAGCGTGCGCATTCTCGCTGCATGTTCTCGTTTGACGCAATCGTGGAGCTAAATTGAGCTGTGGGGGCGTAGATTGCAGAGAATGAAAAGATGTCGAGGAGGAAGAGACAATTGTAGTAGAGCAAGTGTCGGATTGCTCGGCAGGTGAGAGAGAAGTCTGTGTCAGCAAGGATGGAGATTATGCGGATACTGTTGACACCGTTGATGTGCGGGACGATCTGCATCATGTTAAAACTGTGCCAGAGCTATCTTAATGATGTGGGAGGCATACTCGTTGCATCGTGAGATCCCAATTCTCATCCATGAAGGTTTGGTATCGAACAGTGAACAAGGGGACGTGCCAGGCTTTGACAGACGGAGGAGAGGGGTAGATAGGGAACAGCTTGATATTCAACGTGTTTAATTCGTCTGTATCATTCAAGTCAGCAATTTGGCCTCCTTTCATCTACTATACTTCCCCCCCCCCCCCTTTGTAGTAAGGTGCGTACCGATGGGAATCATGCATTCGCAATAGTTATTTAGATCCTCCATCAATGTCTCGCACAAGCTATAAACTTTCCCCTCGCCACTTTTTGAGTGATCCCTGGATAGGAATTGGCCTTGCTCCTCCAACCCATGCATCAGGTCCGCAAGTTTCTGGACCACACTTTTGTACGTGCTAAAATCTTCTTCCTCCGCCAGCACGATGCAAAAATTAAAGATGAATTCGTTGCGGTCATATCGGAGGGATTTCATGCAGATCGGGTAACCAAGTATCCGGTATCCGTTTGTGCAAACCTGCATCAAGTTTCCGCATAGCTCTTGACGGGGAATCACGAAGAAGGAGATGTCGGAAAAGGTCAGGAAGAGGGGCTGCGACGGAGCGGTCGCGGAGGGAACTATCGCGCCATCGGGAACTTGGTGGACGACCTTAGGCCCTAAAAATTGTAGCGATCAATTGACTACCTTGCTTGAAAGCTAAGTGAGGTTGAATGATTTGCTTACCCTCCTGGGTGTCGAACTTGCTGTAGAAGATCGCTTTGATCATGGTGGTTGTAGAGGTAACGAGTGGGAAGTGTTGAGGGAGGGGGGGACGACGGTGGTCGCAAATGCTATAGTAAGCCAGATAGCATCATTTTAAGAGTGTAATTGCATCATAGCATAAGCACATTCTCTGTTACCGGCGCAAAGAATTATGGTGATGTTTTCGGTGTGAAGGAGGTGGAGAGGGAATATCGCGGGGAGCTCTAACTACCTAGAAGTGGAGACTTGAAGAAGCTCCATTACCCCGTGACTGTAACACCCACTTTATCACGAGCAATCTAGATTTATACGGGGAAATCCTCGTGCGACCTAGATCTACAGGTGTAAAAGGGAACATAATGACGCCAAAACTAAGCTTCATTAGCTAGTCATTATTCCTATACAAGGAAGTAGGTAACATGATACACCTAAGCGGAGCCAATCGCCAGTCTCCCTGGCAGCTGTCACTCAAGGAGCCATATCCTATCCTACTGAACAACTTAGTAATCCCAGTGGAGGATAACTTAAGTTAAATATATCGTACCGGAGTAGTTTCCGAGTGCGAGTGAACCGGGAATGGACCGTCAGATTGTTGTTATCAGCCAGGAGACCATGAGGAGACCAAATGACCGAAAAGGAGATGGGACGCAACGGGCTTTTGAAGGCAGAACTACGGATATGAATGTATCTCGGCGAAGTCACTTTCTGGACGAAAAATACCAATGGCCATTTTATGCAATGCTGTAATGAGATACGACATAGACAGGAGGGGTATTAGAGGAATCGACGGGAGGGCTAAACGCAAGGAAATCTATAACAATCAGCGGTCGGGAAAAGTGAGAGAAAGAAGCCTAATCGCGGTCCACAGTAACGATCGAACAGAGTATTACGCCCTGTATAGATAGAGAAAAGAGAGAAGAAACCGCCGCTGATGCGCCATAAATGCACCTAGATGGAAAACATGCCTGCCTGCTAAAACTTGAGAAACTGCAAGGATACGCAAAGAAATCGAACTGAGCATCATTCCGGGTGGGTCTTATCGTGCGGTTCCTGATGGAGAATGAGGAGGGCGTCGAATAGAAGTGCTCGCTGCAAGCAAGCTGGACGTTGGCGGAAGGATGATACGTTCTGAGAGCGACACGGATCGTCTAGCGCCTGTCCTACTACTAAGGTATGGCATGTCATACAAGAAATCCAACGGTTGGCCTCTTCGAATCGCATTGATTACGTCGGCGTAACTTCCTCGCTCGCCAGCTTCCTTCAGCCATTGCTCCCAGTCCTCGTCTAGCGGAACATTGGCGCCTCGTTCGCGGGCGGCACTTGCTGCAAGTAGACGATGATTCAGTTCCACGCCACAGCTTTCCATTTCCTCGTCGCTCGAGTCTTCTTCAACCTTCCGAGGTACATCACAGTCGACACCGCGGTCATCAATGATGTCAGTTACCGGAACGAAATGCTCGCGTGATTCGGCCTTGGCCTCTGGTTCTCGCACCCGTTCTGGACCATCTTCGAAATGAACTTGGATTGAAGGCAGCGGGGATGGTGACGCTGGTCGGACACCATTGGCCGTCGTATCTTGTACCTTGATACCCTCTTCTTTCTCATACCGCTCCCGTGCCGACTTGGTACCTTCCCAGCGACACAGCGAAGATATCTCGGCCTCCGTTAAACCGAGCTCGTCAAAGACTCTAAAAAGTCGGCGATGCCAAGGAAACCGACTCAGCCTCATGCGATGCGGACCATACGAATAATCAAGGCCAGGATATTGAGCTTCAACGGTGTCTAGCGATCCATAGAAAGTCGAGGTTTCGATCCGAACTTCGGGGACGAGGTTACGGGTGATATGAGCGGAGAATGTCGCTGGATCGCTCGTGCGTGGGCGCGGAAAGGTTGCATTGTGCACAATCTGAGCCAGGGAAGGTTTGTGCATGGTGAAGGGACGTCAAACTGTACGATGTTGCGTATGGAGAGTATGCGACAGAAGTGGTGGGTGATTGAACCGTATCAAATGTCCGATAGAAGTTCAAGGGTTGGGGTAAGAGGTAGGGGATCGGGTGAGAGACACGGCTTAAAGGGTTGTTGGTAATTTCCACATGAAGATAAACAAGAAAAAGAGAAAAAGTCCCAGTTGACAGGGATTTAGAACCGCCTGCTATATTTAGGAGAAAAAGGAATAGAAACGGGAAGAGCAAGTGAAATAGCAGCAGATTCCAGATTCCCAACTGCCCTGTTTGCGGAAGGGAGCGAGATGGGGATCGCCAATTCAATAGTAAGAAAATGACGGACAAATAGCGATCTAGAATACCAGATCTCACTAGAGTTTCAGCTGGCTGATTCGCGTCGTCAGGAGAACCTCGGCCAGAAACAACAAATACGGGATCTTCCAATGAGCAAGCGTAGAGATCAATGGGCGGATGTCCAACTCATACAACCGTGCAGTAGTGGTGGGTGATGTGTCAATAGTTCAACTTCTTGCCTATAGATTGGGTGATGGCAATTATCGGGTGGGAAGATTCAGAATCGGACGATGAATGCCTTAGAGGTATGGTGTATGTCGGTAGCCGTCTTCCCTTTCTCTTTCTCTTTTTGTTTTTTTCAATTTTTTCTTTATTATTATTATTATCTTCTCCTTCACAAATGAAAGGACCTTCGTAGCCCCTGGACAGGATAATGTGAAACTTCTCCACGAAGCTTTGGCCTCAGGCACAAGTGGCGACCCAAAGCTAAAAAAAAAAAGAAAAAGAAAAATTTCCGTCTCCTGAACTAGAAGACAGAAATACCCATGACGGTACTTAGTAGGACGAGGAGGATGTCAATCAATGCAGCTGACAGACGAGTGATTGGAAATTATGAATTACTATAGTAGTAGATGAAACTGTGGGAGACAAATTAGAAGAAAAAGAAACCAAAAACGGAGCGAGATGTCTATTATATATGAGAATTTTCATCTGAAAATGAACAATCATGATGTCTGCTGACAACACCGTCATGCATGCATGGAACAGCGCATAAGGAACAACTGCGTGGAGTATTCTTGACTAGCGACTGTGAGTGAGTTAGCCAACTTTAATTCCGGGACAACAGAATAACGCTTCTCCATCCATAGAAGCCCTGAACAAAACAAACGACTGCGTTGGCGAGCGGGTCTCTCATCCACTCTCGCCTCGCGCTGGTCGCCTGCAAGGCCACTTGGTCGACGATCCGACTCCGGTGGCCTAGGTCTCAGGCAGGGGCCCATGTAGGTACTTGAATGGAAGAGTCTTAACGGGGCGAAGAGGCGAAAAGAGCTATTGATAGGACGGTCTAGACACTGGACAGGGAGTACTGTCTTGGGTATCTGGGGTCGTTGCAGTTGTTCCAAAACTGTCAGAGAAAAGAGAGAGGAAAAAAAAAAAAAAAAAAAAAAAAGAAGGATTGTCATTACTAAGTCACCGCTTCGATTAGCGGAGAAGAACGAAAATGACCCATTAGGAAAAGAAGTAGAAGAGATCAACTTAGCAAATCGTAGCAAATCATCTTGTTGTCTTCTCTCTCATTGGCTCACTATGAAGCATGAAGAAGCGGTAAGATTTCCCCAAGAATCGGTCTACGAAATCCGATCCTCCATTGGGGGGGAATTTGGGGTATACCCGGCACTTGTTATACCTGAATTCCCCTCCGCATTCGACACCTCAGGATAACAGGCGGCTAGCCTTATCATCATCATCTGCTTCTTATCGCATGTTCTTCTTTCACGAACTACTAGTACTGGTTTAACCGTCCACTCCGAAAGTACCAATTCATTTACTAGAATGACTTAATATATACCCTTTCGGTTGTAATATTCCCCAATGTCTACCTTTGACGGGATCGTCCAAGGTACGTGTGGATGATCAATTGCTTCAGAATTCATTATAAAACCTAATAATCCGGGTAGAATTTCCATATATTCAGAGTGAGCAACACTACCAAACAATGTAAAAGGTCATCGCTACTAAAAGACAAAGTTGACTACTTTCGCAAAAACCCAGAGAGGCCTCCTCCACTGGCCGGCTTTCTTAGCCATGTCCACAGCGATCATCTCCAGGGTTTGGAGTCCTTCCGAGCTCCATTCATCTACTGTTCGGCAGCAACTAGAGAGGTATTGATTCATCATTTCACCCCTACCCCTACCCTGAACACATGTGGTACTGATTTCATTCCATAGCTACTCTTACACATCGAGAAATATCCTCACCGCATGAATTTCAGTAGAGGCATCCTTGAATCCCGGAAGTTGCATTACAAACATCTATCCAAACTTTTAGTAACTTGTCTCGCCATGATACTCTCTTCTCCCTACTAATATCACATAGCGGCCGATCCCTCTAAACACGCCGACGGAGATCGAACTTACCCCTCGGCTCTCCATCCGAGTTACCCTACTAGACGCCAATCACTGTACAGGCGCGGTGATGTTTCTCATCGAAGGTAGTGGAAAATCCGTTCTCTACACCGGCGACATTCGTGGTATGTATCCTCACAAAGCACCTAGTCGATGATCCATAGCTCTGACAAAGAACAGCGGAGTCTTGGTGGGTCAACAGTCTTATCCGACATCCGGTTCTCATTCCCTACACTCTAGGTGGAAAGCGATTGGATAAGATCTATCTCGACAGTACATTTGCCCGCCACTCGTCTATATACCGTACATTTCCATCCAAGGCAAAAGGATTAGCAGAACTTCTGCAGAAAGTCGCATCCTATCCAGAGGACACTATCTTCTACTTCCGAGCATGGACTTTCGGATATGAGGAAGTCTGGATGGCACTTTCTGCTGCTCTCAATTCAAAGGTATATATGTGTTACGTCCCCAATACTTTGATTTTATGCCAACAGAACAGGTCCATGTGGATCGGTACCAAAGAGGTCTGTATAGGTCGCTCGTTCCCACTCAACAGGGGACCGGCGAAGCATCTGCCCTTTGTGGCTTTGAGCTCGGGAATAGATTTGTTCCTGGCTGTTTGAGTGAAGACGAAGGGTGTCGCATCCATAGTTGTGAGCCAGGCGTACAATGTTCGGCCATTTCTTCGAAGAACCCGGTTCATATAATCCCGATCGTTAGTCGAACGAATGATGGCTCGGAAATACCCGAAGTTGGAGCTGGAGGCGGAGGTGGTGACCTGTATCAGATTCATGAGCTCGAAATCCCGAACGAGCTTTCACTAGAGCAGCTAGAGAAACTCTGTCTCGAAAGCATTCACGATCCTCAAATACTCTCGGAGACGCGAGAGGCGTTCATTGAGGCATGCAAGTCCAGCAGTAAAGCACTCCAGCTTGATAGCTATGGGATGAAAGATGATCATGATATACCCCTGGAAAATCTAGTTAACATCCTCAGCCGGGGCCGTTTCCGCGACAAAATTTGGTCCGATAACAACCAGGTATCCACAGGACAACATGATAGGCTAGGAAATCGGCTCCCAGGAGTTATTGTAAGTGGGTTTGCATAAACTGAATCAAATATGCTCTAACATCTGGTAGCACTTTCCATATTCGCGCCACTCATCCTACGCAGAATTATGCGAGCTGGTCTCCGCATTCAAACCAAAAGACATATGTCCTTGTACAGTTGACCCTCTAACATGGGATGAGGACGTCTCCATGCAAAGTCTCTTCGGCCATCTGTGCACAGGAACGGAATTCACCCACGACCATCACATGCGAGACATGCTGGAAAACGACGAAGACCTTCGCTCAAGAAAACGAACTCGCTACGAAGAACCCGCGTCACAATCAAGCCAGCTACCCAGTAATCGCGATGGCATACCCAGAACCACAATAGATTTCACCACTGGAAACCCCGACGACGATACAAGCTCAGATAGAAGAGCACCAGATCACACCAATTCACCACTAGAAACAACTAGCGCACAGCCGCAACCAAGACTCCACAAACCCCACCCTGCAAAATCAAGTATATTCTCATCATCACATTCATCTTCAGGCCGCATCCCTATGCCATCATCCCTAGAGACTATCCAAGACAACAACCAAGCAGTAGACTCGCGACTCTCCACCGAAGATTCAACCCGGACAGCAGAAAAAGCCAGACGAAACGAGGTCCGCCAAGCATGGCACTTCCTGAATAACGCTCGCTCTGACCAAACTCCATTTCACCTTGGTTCTCTCCCCTCTTCATGGTCTACCGAAGAAGACAAGGACCCCGAGTACCAGAGGAAGACCACTGCAGAAGAAGAGATATCGCATCACATTGTGCAGCAATCTAACAATGGCCCCGGCATCGACGTCGACGTTCATATCACAGACCACAACATCGAGGATCCAGAGCCAGGGCCAGAAAGCCAATTCAGCCACTCACTCTCCCTTTCCTCTTCCGCCTTTGCATCCCAAGAACAGCCGTTGGAGCCAGCCAGTGATATGTGTTTCGATGGTGCATTTGATGAGCATATCGAAGCTCGAGAACAAGTAGAGGTTCAGACTGCGGCGTCTTTATCAACAGATGCCCGGACGGCCAATACCCTAAAGAGAAGCAGCAGCTCGTCCCGAGTACGGAGAGCCGCGTATCTAGCTGCTAAAGCGGATAGTTACGAGGCCTGGGCGTCTATGGAGCTTGTTTCGGCGGGTAATAATCACACAGAAGAGGAGATCGAGCTATAATTTTGAACCCGTTGAGTTTACAAAGGTATGAGGATTATTGTCCTGTATAACTGAGATACATAGATAATTATAAGAAACACCAAGTTATTGATTATAAGGAAAAAAAAAAAAATAATAAGATGGATATCATTACACACATTCATAACACATGCTAATTAATATGTACACATCTTCCGAAATGCAAAAGAAACCAACCTATACCCTAATCTATACAAAGAGAAAGTTAAGAAAGGAAATGTGCCAAAACACGCGCACGCATACAGGTTAGGTATCTCAACACAAGCAGAAACGAAAATACAAAGTCAAAGGAGAGAGAAAGGGAATTTTATCATCGTCTAGTAAACGAAAAAGTCTTGCGTAAGCGGTAAGCTTGTCGCGGGTTGAGCGTCGCAAAGTACACCGTCGGCTTCGACGGCGTAACTTTCCGCATCGACGTGCATCTTGGGCATGGTGTCGTTGTATTTCATGTTGGCTTTGCCGATGTTGCGGCAGTTCTTGACGGCTTCGATACGCTTCTTGATTCCGTAGGATTGGACGGTGCCGGCGTCGATGGAGGCTTGGGAGACGAACATGATTGAGGTGCTGGGGACGTAGGCCTGGGATATCATGTTAGAAGGGATTGCTGGGGAGGACAGGAGGAGTGAGGGGCACTTACTCCGAACATGGGACGCATGATGATCGGTTCGATAGTGGGAATGGATCCATTTGGATCACCCTGAAAAGCATATTAGTTGTCTTGTTTTATGTTGAGAAGAAATGATTTATGCTTACCATCTGTGCAGCGGTAATCATTCCGCTCTTCATGATTTGGGTAGGCTTGGTACCGAAAGAACTGGGGTGCCAGATAACCAAATCCGCAATTTTGCCGACCTCCACGCTGCCAATCATGTGGGACATGCCCTGGGCAATGGCTGGGTTGATAGTGTACTTGCTGATGTACCTCTTGACTCGGAAGTTGTCTGCGCCTGTGCCTTCGTCCTCCTTCAGCGGGCCACGCTGCTCCTTGTTCTTATGCGCTGTGTTCCATGTCCGTAGGATCACTTCACCACAGCGACCCATAGCCTGCGAGTCCGAGGACATCATGCTGATAGCGCCAAGATCATGGAGGACATCTTCGGCGGCGATGGTCTCGGCACGGATACGACTCTCGGCAAACGCAACGTCCTCGGCAATGTTCTTGGACAAGTGATGGCACACCATCAACATGTCAAGATGCTCATCGAGAGTGTTCATCGTGAATGGACGAGTGGGGTTGGTGCTACTGGGAAGAACGTTCGGGTGCTCAACGACGGAGATGATATCAGGGGCATGGCCACCACCGGCTCCTTCCGTGTGATAGGTGTGAATTGTGCGGTTCTTGAAGGCTTCAATCGTTTGTTCCACGAAACCAGACTCATTCAGGGTATCGGTGTGGATCATGCACTGCACGTCGTACTTGTCGCACATATCCAGGCAGGTATCAATGGCCGCAGGTGTGGAACCCCAGTCTTCATGGAGCTTCAGTCCCGCTGCGCCGGCCGTGATTTGTTCCTCAATGCTGATTCCACCACAGTCGTTTCCTTTACCGGTGATACCCACGTTGATGGGGAGGTGATCGCAAGCCTGGATCATCTGGCGCATATGGTTGGGGCCCGGGGTGCAAGTAGTCGCGTTCGAACCTGTCGAGGGGCCAGTTCCTCCACCCAAGAATGTAGTGATTCCAGAAGCCAGCGCTTCATCCACCTGCTGAGGACAGATGAAATGGATATGGGTATCGAACCCTCCAGCGGTGATAATCTTGTTCTCACCGGCAACCACGTCCGTCGAGGCGCCGACGACCATTTCCGGGTGCACACCGTCCATAATATCGGGGTTTCCAGCCTTGCCAATGCCGACGATGATACCGTTCTTGATTCCAATATCGGCCTTGTAGATACCGGACCAGTCGATAATCAGCGCGTTCGTGATAACCGTGTCTAAGCAGTGTTGGTGGGACTTGTCTGACGATTGGCCCATTCCATCTCGGATAGTCTTGCCTCCACCAAAACTGCACTCGTCACCGTGAGATGTATAATCCTTTTCAACCCTGACCCACAGGTTTGTCAATCCCAAGCGAACCAGGTCGCCAGTGGTAGGGCCAAACATCCGAGCGTAGGCCTCTCGGTCCATCGTGAACGGGGTAACGAGGGCGGCATCCGCAGTGGGTTCAGCAATGTGAGCGAAACCGTCAGCTTGCAGACGCAGCATGATCTCGTCCACTCTGCTCAGATCGACCTTGCCCGAGGCAATGAAGTTACCTCCCTTGATAATGCGATGGCCCGCGATTTCCACAAGCGTCACAGTCTTGGTGTCTCCAGGTTCGAATCGTACAGATGTTCCTGCAGGAATATCTAGGCGATAACCATACGCGCGGAGACGATCAAAATGCAATTGCGGGTTGACTTCAATGAAATGATAGTGGGACCCAACCTACAAGTTCATCATATATGAGTCCCGTACCATGCGAAGGGACCGGAATGCACTCACCTGAATTGGCCGATCGCCCTTACTCATCACCTTGAGCCTGATTCTCCGTCGTCCCTCGTTCAACGTAATGCGCTCATTCTTCACGGGAATGACAGCACCGGGCATCTTCTCGGGCTCATAGTCGTTCGGATCCGGATCAGGGAACGCGTCCGCCGGGGGGATCGGAAGGAAACTCCCGTATAGAGCCTTCTCCAAGTCTCCTTCGTCGCTACTGATTGGGTGGTGGACCGTTACGAGGTATGTGCCGGTAGGGAACGTGCCTTCGACCTGTAATTCTATAAGGGTGGAAACAACGGACGGCAAGACATGACGACGACCAAGCATGGTCTTGCCGATGGACATCAAATCGGCCACGGAGTAGAGGCCATCGCGGATGAGCTCCTGTATGTTCGAGGATATCAAAGCCTAAACAGCTGATGTCAGTTCCATGCTGGTCCACTTCGATGGATACGCAACTGAGAATGGGCGATGACATACCACTGCCTCTGCATGGTTCAATCGCACACCACGTGCGAGACGCCGTTGGGCCAAGAAGCCCAATTGCGAGATCGCAAGTTTATCGAGCTACCGGAGCCACCAATGTCAGATTTAATATAATCTTTTTATAGATCTAGATCTCCCCGACGGATCCCTGTTTAGAACGTACCTCCTTAGGAATGAGGTGCATCTTCGCCGACAGTAGTTTAAAAGCGGAGCTAAATCGTTGTCTCTTGGCCTGCGAATCACCAACGCTGTAAAAAATCCAGCAGCAGGCGATCGGGAGCTGATAGGCCAATCAGTGGACAGGGAGTGGATGACAAAGGGAAAAAATTAATAAAAAGAAAGGAAAAAGACTGGATCCGATGCGACCGGGGGGAACCGAGAGGAGTATGCACGCGACCAATGACCAGTGTAATTTCACAGTTCTCTTTTGGGAAGGGTGTAGGGATTGTGATATCACACGGCGATGACCTTCTCTGGGGCAGGGAGACCGGAGGCGACATGCACGAGGGGATTCCGGGGCGGGTTTTATAAATGAAGCCCAAAGGCAAAAGCGAAGGCCGGATGTTGATGTGGGGTTTCGCCGAGATACGCTGCCGGCATTGCTGATAAGGGTTACCTTTCGGCCTATGGTTGGCCGTGTCCAATTGACTATTCATTCATCAATTTGACTAACAGCTTTTTTTGGAGGGGGAGGATTTCTGGAACGATAGAAATCCTGCACGAACCGTGCCGGCTAACCGTTCGATCGATAGCCACGGACCATTCCATGGAATCCAGACTCTAGACTCACCCTACTGCAACCTCACCCCTGCATGTCTGGGGTATGCCGAAACATCCTGCATTCTCGCGTGGCCTTGGAAAATCAGAATCCCTCCCATTCGGGTATATTAGGAATCCTGTTTCCGGTATCGTGTCAATTTTACAGTCATGGAAATGAACTGATGGAGAAAGTGACAAGAAGCAAGAGAGTTTCCACATTACCCGTAAAGTATTTTTCGGTTTACCGCCCAAAGAAACTTGAAAACGAACTGCTATTCAAATTGCTTCCATTTTAACTTTCGCTAAGATCAATCAGAAAGATATCCATTTTCCCTTTGAGCAAGCTAGACCTAAAAGCAAACCGAAGCTCCTGAAAATAATAGATCAAAAGAAAAGTTAAAAAGAAAGAGGACTCCAAACTGCCCTACCCCAGAGCACCTAACCAGTAACCCGGCTGCAAATAGCACTGTATGTTACAGGGACCACTGAGTACGGTTCAATTCCCAAAAACAACATAGATGCGCCAAATGTCTGTACAGCAATCCACCACCACAATGTCCAAAGATGCACACGTAATATCACCTTTACTCGTCAGCAGCAGCCTCGCTCTTGCGCTTCTTCTTGCCACGCTTGTTCTCTGTCGCAGCCGCCTTGCGAGCCGATGCGGGGGTCTCCTCCTGCACCTTCTTCTCCCTCGAAGCGGGAGTGCGCGTCCTCTTCTTCTCGGGTGATGCCTTCTTGGTATCCGCAGGAGAGGCGGCCTCCTTGGCAGCCTTAGCAGCCTCGCTGCGGCGACGCTTGCCAGCGCGTGGAGGGGTAGGCTCCCGGACTGGTTCGGGCTCCTCCTCCTCCTCTTCCTCTTCCTCCTCCTCTTCTTCTTCCTCTTCCTCTTCAGCAGGGGTGGTTTCCGCACGGTCCGCCTCCTGTTGCAGCTGGTTGGCGGCCTTTGCGTCATCACTGTAAGGAAGACCAGCCTTGTAGGCCTTCATCTTCTCCTTGTAGACTGCAAGATTGTCCGCATAAATCTTCTTCCAGTGCTACGTACCGCGCTGGTTAGTCACGGCGACGCGACGAGTTGGGGGCCTGCGGAAGAGAACACTTACCTCCTTCTCCTCTTCGGGCATCTCGGCCCAGCGGCGGGTACCCTCTTCAGAGACATCCTTTGGCTTGGCATTGGGTCCCATTTCCTCGCCAATCTCGGCACGGTTGTGCTTCATGTAAAGGAAGAAAGGAGTCAAGGCGCGCTTGGGCGCATTGG